GTCCAGACTGAGAAAACCTCTGGACAGGTACATTATGCTTGAAAATGTACTTAGCTGAAGAAAGAAAATGGGTAGAGACTCTAGTAAATAAATAAATAAATAGTTTGAAAATAAAAGGAAGTTTTTAAAGAGACAGCAAAGTAATCTAAAAAGAATGAGCCACATAAGGATGGGAAATAGCATAACACATGCTATTAGTTATGCATAAAGTATGCTTTGCTAACTTTAAATTTTTAAATGCTAATGAACGAAATAACAGTTGCTGATGGACACTGGGTTTTGGAAAAAACAGCTGTATTAAACTAACAGTATTTATGGTTGTCTTAGCATCAGAATGGAACTCAAGAAATGTGTTGCATTGGGAGAGAGGCTATGCCTTTGTTTTCAAAGGAAACGAAAAGTTATGGATTCCTTCAAAATTAATAAAGATTAGATCTGACCAGGGGAAACTTCCTGAAAATCTTGGCTGCAGACATGAAGGAAGAAACCAAGAAAAGTTACAAGATAGGCAATATATATGCTGATCCTTGGACATTGGAAACAGCTCTTTGATTTGAGGAGACATGATAAATATTGTTGGGCTACAGTGTCCTCATGACATATTATTATATGCCATCTTTCGTGAGTCATTTATATTACAGTTTTGTTATACACTCTAAATGGATGTATACAGTTGACCAGTCAAGGTCATAATAGGGGAATCCACAGAGACAGCTGATCTGAGCTTGTGGGAGCTCATGGATTCTGGACCAACATTTAGGGAAGCTGCATGGGACAGACCTAGGCTGTCACTTGGTCTCTTTGTAAAGCTCCTAGCAGTGAGATTAGGGCCTGTCCCTGGTCCCTGTTCCCCATGCTGGATTATCATGTCCAACCTTGATGCAAGGGAGGAGTTCAGCTCAACTTGATGTGCCATGCTTTGTTAAAGCTCATGGAAGGGCAGCCCCTTTCTGGATAGGGATGGAGGAGTGGATAAGGAGGGGGTAAATGGGAAGTAGTGGGGACAGAATGGAGAGAAAAGGGAGGGGAACTGTGATCAGCAGGTAAAATGAATGAAAAGAAGTTAATTAAATAAAATAAAAAAAAAACAAAGTAGTTGGGTAATGGTGGCTCTTGCCTTTAATTCCAGTACTCAGGAGGCAGAGGTGTGTGAATGTTTGTGAATTCAAGGCCAGCCTGGTCTGCAGAGTGAGTTCCAGGACAGCCATGGCTACATAGCAAAATCTTTCTCATAAAACTGAAAATAAAAAACCAAACCAATAATAATAATAAAGTTGACAGATCCCTTTCACCTGCTCAAACATAGAATAGAAAACCATCTTTAGCTGATTTGTGCACACCACACATTCCATAACTGTGTTAATGCATATCTTTACATTAGATTTAAAAGTTTATGTTTTCAGTATAAAAAGACCAGACTCAATGAAGACAAGTATCCCAAGTGATCCAGCCTCACAAAATGACTCCATTGCAGTTTTCTCAAAAATCTGTACCCAGAACAACTTCAAGGCAGCTAGCTGAGATGGTCCAGCCTCACAGACTACTCCAGTCAGGACTTCAGTTAAGCACTATACTTTCTCAACACACGGCGGGGGGGAGACAGAGAGAGAAGACAGACAACTAGCTCACCAAGGACTTAACCATTATCTCATTTTTTTTTTTTTTTTTTTTGGTGTGTCCCCTAAGATGCCATAGCCTCCAGACAATTGTAAGTAATTTTAAGGACATTATACACACATTCTCAAGAGGTGTAATTGGTGGTTTTTAGTCATCTGGGGGTTAGGGATGTTTGACTTTGTTTAGGGATGTTAGTTGCAAGTTGTTATTTGCCATAGTCAGGGTCGAAACTAAACAAAGGAGGTAATATTGAGGGATTTTTTTTCTTTTTCTTTCTTCTTTCTAGTGAAAAAAAATAGGGATGGAGGACATAGGATAAAAGGATAGATTATTGATTCTACTTTTATGCTAAAAAGCAACTTCTGGTCTTAAATATACACACAAAAAAACACTGGTGCAGATTTTTGTATATTGATTCAAATTTAAGGTTATTTTTTGTTATAACACACTGTATATATGTTTCTACTCTTGTTTAAGGTATTGTACCTATGTAGCTCACTTTAAAATGTAAAGTTCTAGTCCTGAAAGCTATTATTACAAACTGTTTAGGATAATTAAGACATGCAGATTAGTAGTTATTTACATATAACAATCAAACATGTAGTCATGTTATGTATGTTTTCAAGGTTAAACAGAAATGTATTTTAGATAGTTAGGTGGTTTTAAACACTTCAGAGACCTACAGAATACGGCATTTAAGATGTTTAAAAAACATAAGGCTTTTCATGATAGTGAGAAATGTCTGCTCCTGGAAGCACCAATATACTTCAGAGAAGATGATGGGCACTGAAGAACCTCCATCTGGAGATTGTTTTCAGTGTGGCAAATACAGTCACTAGGCAAGAAACTCTCCTTGTCTCGATTACTGACAGCATGCTATCTATATTGGACAAACAGAAAACAAAGAAAGTCTACTGCTGAACTTAGCCAAGACAAGGTAGACTAGTCCCTCAAAGTTACTGCTTCACAGAATAGTCTGTCTGATAGTTTAGGCCTGTAAGCTGAAGATAGATGTCCCATCATTGCAGAGGAACCTTGGGTGACTGTTAGGGCCAGCTGTTTCTATCATTTCTATAGTTGTAGAAGTTGCTTGCTGTGAGCTTCCTGTTTACTCAGAAAATATTTTATACTTTCCAGGTTACTGATGGGGTTGAACACCAAGTAGTTATAGTTTTACAGTTTTCTGCATTCCCAATCAGAAAAGAAACTAACAAAAGAGATGTAAAGTTTATAAAGGTTGAGAGACATAAAAGTTTAAGTTGTTTATCTAAGAAAATGATTTTATGTCTCAAAAGTATTTTTAGGTTTGTAATACAAGTTATGATAGAAAGTGATTCAGGCACAAAACTTTGGATTCACCAAGATCAGACAGAAATAGAATACTTTATCCAAAGTTGCCAGATAAAAATAAACTGGACAGCCAGGCGTTGGTGGTGCACACCTTTAATCCCAGCACTCGAGAGGCAGAGGCAGGCGGATCTCTCTGTGATTTCGAGACCAGCCTGGTCTACAGAGCAAGTTCCAGGACAGACTCAGAGCCACAGAGAAACTCTGCCTCAAAAAACCCAAAATAAACAAACAAACAAACAAATAAATAAATGAACTGGACATTGTGAATGTCATTCTCACCCGATAATTGTTCTTATGGCATATAGTTTAACTCTGCTAAGAGTTAAAAACATTTCCTTTTTTATCTTAGACAAAATTGGAGAAGTGCTGGGGGATAACTGATCATACTGTGAAGATGTGTCTCTGTTCTTCATTACCTGCCTAAGGCACTTTCGATTGGTTTAATAAAGAGCTGAATGGCAAATTGCTAGGCAGAAGTGAAGAATCTGAGGTGCAGGGGATTCACCAGTCAGATGTAAAGATACATGTACTGAAGAAAGGTAACAAGCCATCCTGCAGAACGTAGATTAATATAAACAGGTTACTTTAAGTTTTAAGAGCTGGTTGGGAACAAGCCTAAGCTAAGATCAAGCTTTCATAATTAGTAAGTCTCCATGTCATAATTCAGGAGTTTGTGATCCAAAGAAAGACCAGCTAAAGACACTTGTACACATTAGAATCCCACTCAGCAAAGAAGAAAACCAAAATGAAATTTTTAGGGAAATGGATGTAACTGGAAATCTAATTATGCTGAGCCACGTAACCCAAACACACAAAGTCAAACGATGTCTGTTTCTCCTTTACAGGGTTTCAGTCTCTGATCTCTGACACATCTGTTTCAAAACTTGACTGAGTATACACAGAAACCACGGAGAAGAAAGGCTCCATGACATCTGTGGGTAGAGGGGAGTGATACGGGATGGGAGGATACATGTGATGTGTAAGCAGTGCTGAGAATAGCAGGACTGAAAAGGAAGCCACAGGCACGGGAATGGGAGAGGAGTCTGAGTATCAAGGGTCAATTATAAAGCCATTTCCAGCCTAGCCTGCTGTTACACATAAGCCTGTCTTAACAACAGAAAAGAGAGCGAGCGAGCAAGAGAGAGAGAGAGACAGAGCTTTTATCCCAGAATACATGAGGCAAAAGAGGAGGATCTGTGAGTTCAAGGCTAGCCTGGCGAACACCAGGGGTTCCTGGGTTAAACATGGACACTGTGCTGCCAAAAGCAAAACAAAATAGAGAAATGATAATATACATTAAATATAAAATAAAATGAATAGCCAAGAACTACACACTCAAGGGTAATAAATGCACTGAAGTCAACTACAAAGCACAGTCTGGACTCGGCAACCCACAAGCAAGCACAGCAAGGTCTGTGCAGGGACAAGTTCATGGCTGAGACTCAAGCACGAATGCGGGTGAGGGGGTGGGGTAGGGGACTGCAAAGAAGCAGCTTCACCAGGATGTTGGACTGGCTCAGGGCCGCTGCAGGGTGCATACTTAAGTGCACATGTGCATAGGCACCACTGTATCTGACCACACCTCCACTGGACTGCACAGCTGCAGGTGTGGGTACCTCCGTCCCAAACCCCATGTTAGGTCTCAAAGCCTGGACAAATGGCTGAGGTGTCCATTAACATAAAGAGAATGCTGGCTGCTAGTCTACCCCTTACAGAGTCCTCCTAACTGGTATATCCTGCCCCTATCCTAAACTCTCCAGTCCAGCACTTGGGCTGGATTTTCCTTACCCCAGCTTCGCTGATTCTACACAACACAACCAATTTGTCTACCCTAGTAGAGAAAACTTGCCTTTTGGTCACTTGGTCCCTTGCTCTCCTCTTTCTTGCCCCCCCCCCCCCTTCTCTGCTAACACGGCCCAGTTCTGTCTGGACCACTCCAGATGCCCTGGCTGTACTCATCTCTCATCTACAATAAACCTTCTGATGGAGAGTGGTCATCCCTCTTTTATTCCAGGATCCCCAGGCACACTCACCATTTTGTGCCTCTGATGTGTCTAGATGTCTTCCTGAAGATGCCTGCAGTCCGCAGAACACATAGTCGATCAAAACAGGTGCTCAGAATACTCTTGGCTAAGTAAAACAAAACAAATAAAAGAGCACTTCAGGGGGAGGAGTAAGCACCAAGTAAATTCCAACACAGGAAGCACAAATAGGAACCCTCCTACATTAGGGAGGAGGAAAGAGTCCATGACATCTCCCACTTCATGTTTCTATGTATCCACTTTGTGCCAATGCCATTAAAACACACCAAGGGAACTTCTTCATCAGATGGATAAAACAGACAGGCATGCCATGAGAAACAACAGAAAGCTTAACTTCATGGAGTGTGAGTAACTAAATAATAAATAATTATATGAATAAAATTATACAATTTACTTGAACAAAAAAAAATAGGTCAAGACAGAAATCCAGAGAAGACTTTCTACAATTGCATGAATAAGAATACACACCATAGCCGGGTGTTGGTGGTGCACGCCTTTAATCCCAGCACTCGGGAGGCAGAGGCAGGAGGATCTCTGTGAGTTCGAGGCCGGGCTGGTCCGACAGCCTCCAAAACAATACAGAGAAACTTGTCTTGTAAAAACCAAAAAAAAAAAAAAAAAAAAAAAAAAAAAAAGAATACACAGCATACCTAAACTTATGGAACTCAATGATGGCATTTCTAAGAGGCACGTTCATAACACAAATTGCCTACATTAAAAAACTGGACAGATCTCAAAGAGTAACTTAACAGCAGCACACCTGGAACACCAAGAGGAAAACATGCAAAATAAATAGAAGACAATAAGTAATCAAACTCAGGGCTGAAATCAATAAAATACAATCAAAAACAATACAAAGAGTCAGTGAAATAAAGAGTTGGTTCATTGAGAAAAAACAGAGATTGACAGACCCTTAATCAAATTAACTAAAAAGCACAGAGAACCAAATTAACACAATTAGAAATGAAAAGGGATGCAAGAAAACCCTTTGACGAAATCCAACAACTCTTCATGACAAAAATCCAGGAGAAATTAGGGATTCAAGGGGCATGCTCAACATAATAAAGGAGATTTATAGGAAGGTCATGCGCAACAACAACTTAGAAAGAAAGACAAATTAGTTCGCAAAAGTCAGGAACATAACTAGGTTGTCCACTCTTTCTAGACCTATTCTATGTGGTCCAGTTTTTTAAATTGAGTTGTTTGAGTTCCTGATATCTAGTTGTCTTTCTTTTAATTTTATATATATTCTAGACACAAATCTTCTGTCAGATATATACCTGGCAAAGACTTTTCTCCCATTTTGTGGGTCGCCTCTCCACTCACATTCTTTTCCCTTTGTTGTTCTGAAACTTCAGTTTCATGATTCCATTTGCCTGACTTGTAAGTTTTATATCCTCAGCTAAAGAAGTCCTATTTAAAAAAATCCTTCCCTGTGCTTGTAAACTCAAGTACAACTACAGATGTAGCGATTTCTGGATATAACATTGCATGGTGAGTACTAGTATCCAGGCCTCTATACTGGCTTGTCCTTGGGGTTCTGACAGGATGTGCCCTCAGCTGCAGCCACTAAGAGCACCACCTGTGCACATTCACTATGTTCCCTTTTAAAAGGGCCCTGCCTGCCCTCCTTCCCTCCCTCCCTCTTCCCCCCTCCCCACTTCTCTGTCTGCCTCTTCTCTTCTGCAGCTCCTGCCCCCAGAGGCAGATCTCCCCTCCCTCACTTTTCCCCCCCGCAATAAAAAAGCCCCTCCACCCAAGCTCTGTTGCATGTCATCTTTCTCTCAGATGCTGCTTTTTCAAATTTCAACAGTGAGGTCATTGAACAATTTGAAGGTGACTTTTGTGCAAGGTGCGAGGTAAGATTCTAGTTTCACTAGTCTGCAACTTAAAACCACCTGAAGATTCTCTCTCTCCCCAGTTAAAATGGCCTTCAAAAGGAATACAAAGGAAACAAATAGGGTCATGGATGTGGGTCCCATGGAACCTTCATCCACTGTTGGTGGGAATGTCAAATAGTAAAGCAGATTTACTGGTAATCAGTCAGCAGGTATCTCCAAAAGCAGGAATGGGCCTGAAGAGACGGCTCAACAGTTAAGTCCTCTTCCAGAGGACCCAGGGTCTATTTGCAGCACCCGCACGGTATCTCACAACTGTCTATGACTGCAGCTCTAGGGGACTCAACACCCACTTCCAGCCTCCAAGAACTCTACACACAAGAGGCACACTGACATACATGAAGGCAAGACGCCAATACAATAAAAACAAATAAACATTCTGAAAACTCAGAACAGATCCACCATATGCCACGGCTACACAACTGCTGGACATACACCCAGAGAACCCTGTATCTTATGTATCCCGCGCTCATCGCTGCTCTACTGAAAACAGCTGTGAAATAGAACCAACCTACTTATGCATCAACTTACAATTGGATAGTGAAAACTTGGTATATATGTATAATGTTTCATTATTGTACTACAGAAACATGAAATTATGTTATCTTCAGGAAAAACAAGGGAACTAGAAAAAATTCTACTGAGTGGGGCCACCCATGGCCAGAAAGGGGAAACAAACAGTGAACAGCCTTGGTCATAATGACATTCCTAGTTTCAAATGGTTGTTTATGTGTGACTTTAACAGTGTGCACGTATGGAGGATAATGAGCTAGAGACAGGCTATTGAATGGGAGGATGAATATAGATAGAGACAGAGCTTTTAAACAGGTAGTGGAATGACAGAGATGGGTAAAGGAAGGCCAGAAGTCTTAAATGAAATGAAGTGCACACGAAGAAATTACTTGGGAATCTATGATCTTGCAATACAAGATAAAAATATATGCATATGGTCAGTGGGGATAGTAGTCCATATGTGATACACATGAACAAGAAGGAAACGCTGGAGACTGGAGGCTGAATAGGGATGAGGACAGAGGGTAGGTGAAAGGAGGCTTGGAAGGGGGTGAAAGACAACTAGCCATGTATTTTAAAGCCTTATGAAACACCACTAGTTTGTAAGCTACTTAAAATAATTTTTGTGGTGGGACAACAGAGCATCACTATGAAGCCCTGATGTGCCTGGAACTCTCTGTGCAGGCCAGGGTATGTACTCTGTATATAAACCATCCTAGCCACAAACCCACCAAGTTCTGAAGAAGCAGATATCCCCATACATTACCACTAGTGAAGAAGCTGGTCCCAAAATACATGAATGATTAAATAAAATGTACATGTCAGGCATGGGTAATTGTTCAGAGAAAGTTCCAAACCACACAAAATGATATAGACTACTGTGATTGCTGTTGGTTGCCCAGAAAAGTAAGAAGATAAAGACACCACACATGTTGACGGCAGCACAGGGATAAACCAATCATGAACTGGCCCAGGGAAGCAGGAAAGTCCCAGGTGCCTGTCTTCCACAGTGCTCAAAGGAACTATGAAATCAGGTCAGGGAAAAAAGACATCAAGGGCATCACGAGGTAGACATGGATTCTACAAAATAGATTTGCCAGAAAGAGAGAGCTAACCAACTGCTACCAATGGGATTTCAGGCCTGCTCCACAGGAGGGAAGTCATGCCTGGTCAAAACCCATGGCTAGAGAAGTCATAGGTCCTAAGGGAAAACCTACTGATGTTGTTTTTCAAGGTGGGCCAGTTGACACACTGCTTTCTACATAATTGTGTTTCTATCCATTGGTTTCTATTGTTACCAACCTGGATCAGTCAAGCTTCTTATTGTAGCAGCAGTAGTTCACACTGAGAGGCATCACTATTTACATTAGGAAAAGAAACAACTGTGACTACTCATCCCCAAATGGGACACTTCTAACAAATCCTTAATTAATATATTAATATATTACATTAATATATATAATTATGCAATTATATATATATTAATATATAATTATAAGCAATAATTATATATTACTTATTATTAGTTTAATACTTAGGAAGTATGGACAATTTTATTCAGTTGGAAACAACTGACTTCTTGTTGACTTGATAGTACATCATTTATACAAATAATAACTGTCTATGACACATATGAACATTGTAGTTTTGTAAAAGGTCAATGGACAAAGACAAAAGGAAAAAGAATACTCTTACTGAGAAGGAGCTCAACTTCACAAAATATTCTACAATGCAGGTATCAAATTCAGAATCCAACACTTTAGAGCATGTCAGTCAAAACACTAGGCAAATGGGATTGGTCTTTAAGAAGGCCACCCCTAGTTAAGAACGTATTGGCAAGTGATGGCTTTGGGATAGATGGAGAGCTATTTTTCCTGAGGAATGTGACCTAGTAGGATGCCCATGCCCTGTGGATAGCCATACACAGCTGGACAACAATAAGTTAACTGCATGTGTTAATAAGAAAGAAAAAAGGGAAAGAGAAAGAAAGGCAGATAAAACAACAAAAACAAAAGACATGAAATTAAGAATTGAGTATGCTGTGTGCTGGATATTCCCAGTAATAAAAATATATTTAAAAGTTCTGTTAGGTTTTTAAAAAACAAAACAGTAAAACAGATGTCCATGTGGCTAGGACATGAGTAGGCAGGTGAAAAGCTTGCACTGCAAGCCTGAAGACCTCAAACCCTATTTAAAATGTGTGCAAAAGAGAATACTTACCATTGGTGAGAGTTTAAACTGCTGGAATTAATAAGCAAATCAGTGTTTGCTTGCCACAAAAGTAGGAAATAAAAACATTATTTCACCATGGCATAAATTCCCCTGAATATACTGGAAACACTCCAAACACTACAACAGATGCATGTACACATGTCACAGCTGCTCTAGTCCCAGTAGCTAGAAAAAGAATCACCCTGGATCTTCATCAGCTCATATCCATATGATGGAGATACAACCCATAAATTCAGTGATTTCCACTCAGAAAGGAAGAAATCTGAAATGAAATTTCCAGCAAATGGATGTAAGTGGAAATGTAATTATACTGAACCAGGTAACCAAAGCCCACACAGTCAGGTGTGGTGGTGCAAGCCTTTAATCCCAGAAGGCCTGAGACAGGGGAGAGTGATCTCTGAGTTCAATATTAGCATGGTCAACAGCAGGGCTGTAGAGAGAAACCGTGTTGCCAAAAACAAAACAAATGAATATGTTACAGCCAGGCAGTGGAGAAACTCTGCCTCACACCAATAAAAGGAAAGGAAGAAAAATAAACAAATTACAAATTAACGATTAAATGAGTACCAAAATAACTAAACACTGAAGCATAAAAAATACAATATAAATGTACTCCGCACTCAAGTCAATGTTCGAATAAAAAACATTTCGCCGGTCGTTGGTGGCGCACGCCTTTAATCCCAGCACTCAGGAGGCAGAGACAGGCGGATCTCTGTGAGTTCGAGGCCAGCCTGGTCTACAGAGTGAGTTCCAGGACAGCCTCCAAAGCCACAGAGAAACCCTGTCTCAAAAAAAAAAAAAAAATAACAACAACAACAACAAAACATTTCTCCACCAGATAGAAAGCACACTTGCCTTTGTCTCAGATGAACACTCTGAAGCTTCCCGACTGGTCATAAACTGCACCGCCTCCATAAACCAACTGTCTAGAGGCTTTTAAAAAGAAAGAAATGAAGTATTACTATTTTCCCCCAAGGTCCGCAAATGTGGAAATCGCCTGCTACAAAATTGACACTCGAAATCCCTTCTCTTTAAAGCAGCTTACAGCAAAAATTCCCCAGCAACAAAAACATAATGCCAGTTCCATGACGCCCCACTGGCCTTTTCTGCAAAGTTAGGAAAACTTTTCAAAAATCCAATTTGGGACTCTATAAAAAGATCACGGCAAACCAAAAGCAAAGCAGACTGAAATTTCTTTCTTCAGACTGGAAATTCCGGCCAAGTGCAATTACGAGAACAATTAAAAATCCCCACACGTTATTTTTTAAAAATGGAAGAAAAAATGCAAACACTAGATGAGGTGTTAAGGGGTAGACACGCAGTTTTGTGGGAAACGTCTCTAATAACAGGGGGCATGGAAAACAATCTAAGGGGGAATCAGATGGGAAAGGAGATCGAAGAGGAGAAAATAACTCCAAAGTGACAACGGAAATAAACAAAAACCTCCACCACCAAATGAGCCCAAACAGGGTTCCTGGCAAGGATTCCACAAGAGTGCTGGGAATTGCGAGGAAGCAGCTGCATTAGGACGGAAAAGTGGCGGACTCGGGGCTCAAGGCTGCCTGTGGGTGCACAGCTGGACACAGGCATTGCTGGGCAGACTCCACCTTGCCCGGAACTCACAGCTCCAGGGGATGCTCCAGCTGCTGCCGCCGAGAAGCAGCTCATGTCCCAAAGCCGCCACCCGGGATTCCAGCAGCCCAAGGCACACTCACCATTTCGTGCTTCTGATGTGTCTAGGAGTCTCCCAAAGAGGCCTGCGGTCAGCAGAAAACACCGTCGCCCCACGCCGGTCTACACAACGAGCCCCTATACCAAGCAAAGCATAAAAGCTTCCGGGAAGCACACCGTGACTACCCGTGCTCCTGATTGGACAGCTCTGTTAGTAATCTAGCTTCTGATTGGCGAAATGTACTCTAGCCGCACCCTCAGCCTGAAGTATCTAAACTTCAGGAAGGTCGGGCTTTCGCCTTGCTGCCTGAACTTTTAACGAAGGCAGGCTTCCGTGAATTCAGAGGCATTAAACAAGACGTGGTGAGACCCTGACTCAAACCAAACAAATATGCCAGACATGGTGGCAGGCATTTTTTTTCTTTTCCGTGACAGGAGTTCGCTTTGTGGATCCGTCTACCTCTACCGATGCCTCCCAAGTGCTGGGACATGGATCTATCTGCAGTCTTCTACATGCCAATATCCAGTTATGCCAACACCAATTGTTGAAGATGCTATCTTTTTTCCATTGTATAATTTTAGCTTCTTTGTCGAAAATCAGGTGTTCATAGGTTTGTAGGCTAATCTCAGGGTGTTCAATTCGATTCCATTGGTATACCTGTCTATTTTTGTGCCAATACCAAGCTGTTTTCAGGACTACAGCTCTATAATAGACCTTGAAGTCAGGGATGCCTCCAGACATTGCTTTGTTGATCAGGGTTGTTTTGGCTATCCTGGGTCTTTTGTTTTTCCACATAAAGTTCAGAATTGTTCTTTCAAGGTCTGTGAAGAATTGTGCTGTGATTTTGATGGGATTGCACTGAGACTGTAGATTGCTTTTGGCAGGGTTGCCATTTTTACTACATTGATCCTACCTATCCAAGAGCATGGGAGATCTTTCTATTTTCTGGTGTCTGCTTTAATTTCTTTAAAGATTCAAAGATCTTGTGATACAGGTCTTTCACTTGTTTAGTTAGTGACACCCCAAGGTATTTTATGTTGTTTGCAGAAATTGTAAAGGGTGATATTTCCCTGATTTCTTTCTCAGCCCTTTTATCATCTGTACATAGTAGGACTACTGATTTTCTTGAGTGGATCTTGTACCCTGCCACTTTGCTGCAGGTGTTTATCAGCTATAAGAGTTCCATGGTAGAGTTTTTTGGGTCACTTATGTAAACTATCATATCAACTGCAGACAGTGAAAGTTGACCTCTTTCCAATTTGTATCCCCTTGATCTCCTTTTGTTGTCTTTTTGCTCTAGCTAGAACTTCAAGTATAATATTGAAGAAGTATGGGGAGAGGGGACAGCCATGTCTTGTTCCTGATTTTAGAGGAATTGCCTTGAGTTTCTCTCCATTCAGTTTGATGTTGGCTGTTGGTTTTTGTTTATAGCTTTTATTATGTTTAAGTATGTTCCTGTTATCCCAGATCTCTCCAAGACCTTTATATCATGATTGGGTGTTGGATTATGTCAAAGGCTTTTTCAGCATCTAGTGAGATGATCATGTGATTTCTGTTTCTCAGCTTGTTTATATGGTGGATTACATTGATGGATTTTCATATGTTGAATCATCCCTGCATTCCTGGGATGAAACATATTGATCATGGTGGATGATTGTTTTGATGTGTTCTTGGATCTGATTTGCCAGTATTTTATTATTTTTGCATCAATGTTCATGAGTGATATTGGTCTGAAGCTCTCTTTCTTAGTTGTGTCTTTGTGTGGCTTGGGTATCAATGTTATTGAAGCCTTGTAAAAAGAGTTTGGCAAAAACCCTTGTACTTCTATTGCATGGAATACTTTGAGAAGAATTGCTATAAACTGTTCTTTGAATTTCCGATAAAATTCTGCACTGAGGCCATTTGGCCCTGGGTTCTTTTTGATTGGGAGACTTTTGATGACCACTTCTATTTCCTTAGGTGTCATAAACCTATTTAAATTGCTTATCTGTTCTTCATTTAATTTTAGCAAGTGATATCTATCCAGAAAATTGTTCATTTCCTTTAAATTTTCAGATTTTTGTGGAGTATAATTTTTTTAAATATGACCTGATGATTCTCTGGATTTCCTCACTGTCCATTGTTATGTCTCCCTTTTCATTTATTTATTTATTTATTTATTTATTTATTTATTTATTTATTTTGGTTTTTCGAGACAGGGTTTATCTGTAGCTTTGGAGGCTGTCCTGGAACTCACTTTGTAGACCAGGCTGGCCTCAAACTCACAAAGATCCACCTGCCTCTGCCTCCCGAGTACTGGGATTAAAGGCGTGTGCCACCAACGCCCGGCTCCCTTTTCATTTCTGATTTTGTTAATTTGCATGTTCATACTCTCCCATTTGGTAAGTTTGAATAAAGGTTTGTCTATCTTGTTGATTTTCTCAAAGAACCAACTCTTTGTTACATTGATTCTTTGTATTGTTTTCCTAGTTTCTACTTCATTGATTTCAGCCCTCAATTTAATTATTTCCTGGCATCTGCTCCTCTGGGGTGAGTTTGCTTCCTTTTGTTCTAGAGCTTTCAGTTGTGTTGTTAATTCTGTAGTGTGACTATTCTCCAGATTCTTCATGTGTGCACTTAGTGCTATGAACTTTCCTCTTAGCACTGCTTTCAAAGTGTCCCATAAGTTTGGGTGTGTTGTGTCTTCATTCCCATTGAATTCTAGGAAGACTTTAATTTCGTTTTTTATTTCTTCTATGACCCAGGAATGGTGCAATTGTGCATTACTCAATTTCCATGAGTTTTCAGGGCTTCTGCGATTTGTGTTGTTGTTGAATTCTAACTTTAAAGCATAGTGGTGTAATAAGATACATGGAGTTATTCCAACTTTTTTGTACCTGTTGAGGTTTGCTATGTTGTCAAGTATGTGGTTGATTTTTGAGAAGGTTCGTGTGTCACTAAGAAGGTATATTCTTTTGTATTTGGATGGAATGTTCTATAGATGTCTGTTAAACCCAATTGGGTCATGACTTCTGTTACTTCCTTTGTTTCCTTGTTAAGTTTCTGTCTGGTAGTACTGTCTAGTGGTGAGAGTGGGGTGTTGAAGTCTTCCACTATAAGTGTGTGAGGTTTTATATGTGATTTGAGTTTTTGTAATGTTTCTTTTACGAATGTGGATGCCTTTGTATTTGGGGCATAGATGTTCAGAATTGCCACTTTATCTTGGTGGATTTCTCCTGGGATGAGTATGAAGTGACCTCCTTCATCTCTTTTAACTGATTTTAGTTCAAAGTCTAATTTGTTAGATATTAAGGTTGCTACCCCTGCTTGTTTCCTGGGTCCATTTGATGGGAAAATCTTTTCCCAAACCTTAACTCTGAAGTTACATCTGTCTTTGAAGCTGAGGTGTGTTTCTTGTATGCAGCAGAAGGATGGGTTCTGTCCTCAAATCCATTCTTTTAGCCTGTGTCTTTTTATGGGCGAGTTAAGACCATTAGTATTGAGGGATATTAATGACCATTTGATATCTCATTCTTATTTGTTTTGGAATGGTTGTTGTTGTTGGAATTGTATTTGGATTTCTATCACTTTTTCTTTTGCCTGTTGGTAAAGTGGGATTATCTATTGCCTATGTTTTTCTGGTTGTAGTTAACTTCCTTGGGTTGGAGTTTTCCTTCCAGAATTTTCTGTAGGGCTGGGTTAGTGGATATGTATTGTTTAAATCTGGTTTTGTCATGAAATGTCTTGTTTTCTCTATAGTGATTGAAAGCTTTGCTGGGTATAGTAGTCTGGGCCGGCATCTGTGTCTCTTAATGTTGGTAGAATATCTATCCAGGACCTTCTGGCTTTCAGAGTTTCCATGGAGAAGTCAGGTGTGATTCTGATAAGTTTGCCTTTATATGTTACTTGGCCTTTTCCCCTAGCTGCTCTTAATATTCTTTCTTTATTCTATATGTTTGGGGTCTTGATTATTATGTGTTGAGGGGATTTTTTTTCTGGGATACACTCTATTTGGTGTTCTGTAAGCTTCTTGCACCTTCATTGGCATGCCTTTCTTTAGGTTGGGAAAGTTTTATTCTATGATTTTGTTGAATATGTTTTCTGCCTCTTTGAGGTGGGTTTCTTCATCTTCTTCTATACCTATTATTTTTAAGTTTGGTCTTTTCACGGTGTCCCATATTTCCTGGATATTTTGTGTTAGGGATTTGTTGAACTTAAATTTGTCTTTGGTCGATGAATCTAGTTCTCCTAGTATATCTTCAACACCTGAGATTCTCTCTTCCATCTCTTGTATTCTGTTGGTTATGCTTGCATCTGTAGTACCTGACCATTTGCCCAGCTTTTCTATTTTCAGCATTCCTTCAGACTGTGGTTTTTTTTTATTGCTTCTATTTCAGATTTCATCCCTTGCACTGTTTGAATTGTTTCTTGCAGTTTTTGCTTTGTCTGTTCATCCATTTCCTGCATTTTTGGGATTTGGTTTTTCTTCCATCTCTTTAAGGGATTTTCTCTTTGAGAGCCTCTATTTCATGAAGTTGTTTTTAATGTCATTCTCTTCTACTTCATTTGTGTTGGGATGTTCAGGTCTTACTGGTTTAGGGTCTCTGGACTCCAGCGGAGTCGTATTGGTTTTGTTGTTGCTCAATGGGCTTTTATATTGTCTCCTTCCCATACATTCTTCCAGTGGGTCCCAGAAGGTGCCTTTTCTTTTCCTGGTGGGTGTGGGACCAGGGTTCCCTTCTGGTGGGTTCAGGCAAGTCCAATGCTCTGGTACCTCTCCACTTCCTTGTCTTATGGGTGGAGAAATGGACTAGGATGCTGGGGTGCTTGGGATCCTAGTCCCATGGGTGGACCAGGAGACTAGGATGCTGGGGTGAGTTGGCTCCTGTCACCAGGATGGAAGCTGCAATGGTAGAACCCAAGCACAGGCAGGTGGCCCAGAAATGGGCCCTGATTTACCTAGTCCCATGGGTAGAGCAGGAGACTAGGATGCTGGGGTGCTTTGCCTCCCACCACCAGGATCACATTTAAAGTTTTTATTAAGCAAAATTTTTTGGCTGACATATAACACTTGGATGAAACTTGACAGGGAAATTCTTTTAATAAACTCAACATAAGACTCAATTTATTAGTTAAAATCCAAATGAAGTAAGTTGAAAGGACAAGCAATTATTTGGGAGAAATAAAATATTTGGGGGTATATTTTAATCATATTAATAACTTAAGTAATCAAAAGTCACTGGGCTGTTATTTTTTTCAGTCTTTACATTTTGAGAGAGGCAGAGCCTAAATTCTCATCTCCAAGATGAGGCCATTGTTCAAGAAAATGAATTTGAACCATAGTAGAGAAGCTACTATGTTCTCTGAGCAAGACGTGCATTTTAGACTTCTTATAGAATCACAGTTGAGATGATGACAAACTAAGCATTGACTTATGGTTTAAATAACTTTTATAAAAAGAAATTCTAATTACAATATGTAATAAAAGAAATGTAGGTCAACTTGGAAGTTGTAAGTAAGAGACAACTTACATATTGGTCAAATTTTAGAATGAATAAAATGTATTAACAAAATAACCTATAAACAAATTTTTTTTTGGTTTTTCAAAACAGGGATTCTCTGTATTGTTTTGGAGGGTGTGCTGGAACTCCCTCTGTAGACCTCAAACTTTCGGAGATCTGCTTGCCTCTGCATCCCAAATACTGGGATTAAAGGCGTTCAGATTATAGGAACAGTTAAATGCTTTTCCACAATGCCTACGTGTATAAAGCTTCTCGACACTCTGAATCCTTCCATGAACTTTCAGAGGATTGAGAAGGTAAATGTCTTGCCACGATGCCTACAAAGATAATGCTTCTCGGCACTGTGGATATTCGCGTGCCTGTTCAGACTACTGGAGCAGTTAAATGATTTTCCACAACGCCAACAAGCATAAGGCTTCTCTCCAGTATGAATCCTTTCATGTCTGTTCAGAAGACTGGAGCAAATAAAGGTTTTTGACAGTTCTTACAAGCATAAGGCTTCTCTTTTGTAGAAGGCCAGACTTGCAGGTGGAGCTGTTAGGTGGGGCAGCAGCAAAGCTCTCGAGGTCGCTGCAGAGACTGGGCTTGGTCCACTCATCATTCCCGTCAGCACCGTGTCTAGGTCTAGTAGGAACTGTCCGCATTTGAGAAGAGGTCCTCCACTCAACTGGGGATTTGGTTCTCCAGGGTCTCAAATATCTGGTCCAATGTCTTCTGAAAGCCTCCCTGGTTTTCTTGTGGGTTGTCTGTCTCCCAGAGGCTGCTCTGAGGGCCCCTTTGCCCCTGTGCTGAGCTGACCATGGGGAGCTCAGAAGCCGAGCTTTGCAGGGAACCGCCTTCCAGTTCAGGAGTGGGGTGCTCCCCGTCAGCTGCCCTGGTTGTACGACACAGGATCTCTGGGGAGACCAGGCGGTCAGTCGGTGTCCGTTCTACATTCCGGGGTGTGATCCCATGCCGCACACCATCCCGACTCATCTCCTCCGGGATCAGCCGGACTGTGTGGGCAATAAGGACTGAGTGGCAGAGGTTGGGCTCCACTGGCAGGTGGCCGAGCTGGAGCTTGTCCAGGGACTTGTCCAGGAGTGACTGCAGCTACAGGCTATAGGAGGGACAGTGCCCAAACCTCTTCTCCTTCTTCCTGGGGACCGTATTTCCTCTTCAGCCCTCTAGCAAGCATCATGTCCTGCACAGCAAGGAAGGCCCACCATCCCGTGAGGCTGGTAATTCTGAGCAACTGCAGTCAGGAGAAACAGAAGAAAAATGGTTGTACATATCCCTTAATCAAAGATAAAGAAAGAGAGGGAGGAAATGAGGGAGAGATGGATTGAAGGAGGGAGGAGGCACAAGGATCCATAAGAACCAGGAAAAGGATGAGTGTTCCTTGACTCCTGGAACTATGGTTTGTGTGTTCCCGGCAATGGTGACACTACATCATTGCGTCCTTGATGTTACCATGGTGATATGCAGTATGCCCTGGGGTCGTGCACAGACATCATTGTTCCCAAAGCACTGGAATTGTATATCATGACCCCAATGATACATGGAACTTACACTCTCTTACTATTTCCCAAGTGACTCTGGAAAATATATGGCAAAGATCCAATGGGAGACACGGACTCTGACCATGAGGAGAACTAGGTGAGAGTGTTGGGGGACAGATATTTTGACATTACTTCTAATGATATCAGGATTTCACTTCTAGGCTGAGAACCATCTGGCTGCAGTGAACTTCTTCAGCCAGAGACTTACCTCTGAGGACATTGCTCATTAACAGAGCCTTAGTTTTCATCACAGTTTTAGCAGTTAGGAAAAAGCTTTGATAAAACACAGAAGATTGTGAAGGCAAGCCCTCTTGAGGACAAACCCTGAGTATAGATGTGAGATCACAGACAATTCTTTTTATTTGCAAGGTGAGGTGACCATGTTTCTGATGTGTCAGTAAGACCTTTCTTGAATAATGTACAAATTAAGAAATGTGATACTTAGAAAAGCCTGGACAAAGCCCGTAGCTCAATCTTCAGCAAGGCATAAGAAACATAGTCTATAATGTGTTTTAATTTATGACATCTTGTTTACCTTGTATACCACATAAAACCTCTGCAAGATGACCAGTTTCTTGGTAAACCATTTATTCTTAAATCCATCATTACCGTACTTGTCCCTAATAGCAAAGCAAAATTTTTCCATTACCCAGATATACAATTTTCAGTACCAATATTTTTCTATGCAAATGTCCAGCAATACATTTCCCTACAAAAAAATCTTGCAGTATAATCGATGGTTAGATTATTTATATGTATAAGTTATACCCTAACATTACATATGTAATTACTTATTTTTTAAACTAGTCATTTATTCTATGAAATCTTTAGTGAGTTAATAAGCAGTTAATTCTTTTTGTATTTTATATTCATATATTAGAAAGCACCACCTAAATCTAATGTTGCCACATATTAGCCCAGTCATCTTCCCATTCTTCTTATTTTCAAATAGTTGTATTTGGCTAGTTTGCATTTTATTCTCCTTTAAGTTAAAGTTTAATTGTTTTATTATTGGAAAAGGCTATAACAATTTAGGTATTCTCAACTTACTCTGTTTAAAGTGTATCTTCTCTTCTAAAACAATTTGCATAGTTGAAGATCATACAATTAGTAGTAAGAAATTAATTAATTATTAAGGGAATAACAATACTTAATGAATGAATTATTTCTTCCAATGAGAATATAATAATATTTTTGCTCCAACTCTACCTGTTGTTTGTTTGAGTTTTTAAAGCATCTGAGGATTCGAAAGTCTAATTTCATATCCAGTATTGAGGAGGCCAGGTAATGGAGAAAGCAAAAGTATTAGTTGTTGATTATGTCAGTTCACATAGCTTGTAAGCTTTCAAACTCTAAGTCATATGTGTAGATTTTTAGACAATATTAATTAATAGGTACAAATTAATTCATTAATTCATTAATAGGCACAAAAGAAGAAATCTACCTTCATGATTGCTGAGCAACAGTGGTCACTCTCAGTATTTAGAGACTGCAAGTTCAGCAAGCTTAGTTATCCTCTGTGTAGCTGTGTCTCCATCTGTAAGTTTGGAATAACATTGGGGTTATTAAGTGTTATAACAGTAGAATATGCATCATATAATTTACTATAGTCAGTCTTTAATATTTCCCAAGCCACAAATCTTCATACTTTTTTTTACTTCTGGGCTCACTGTTTCATAGTTCTGAACTAATGTGAAGACAAACACAATAGGGTTCCTTGTGGGAGACTATGGGTAGAAATCAGATATAGTCTGGACTGAGCAATGGACATGCGAGATATGAAGAACTTCAAGCTGTGTCTCCACAGATCAGTCCATGCTCATTCTTTTCTACAGCCTGATGCACTGTCAGATTTACATTATTTCAAGTAACATTTTGATTATCTACTTTTCCTAATTTATACTGCATATAATAATACTAACCCAAGTTGTAAGCAGTGTAACAAATATGCAGTGAAAATGCCAATATGCTTTCACCTTAGGCTTCATACATTTCTCTGATTACTCTAATAAGACGTGAATGGCAGCTGTTCTATTTTACAGAGGAAAAATCAGATTAACCATTGGTGTGAAAGGCTGAAAACCTGCTTTGATGCTCTTGACTCAGCGCTAAAAGCTGGGCAAATTTATCCATATGTACATTCCTGTTTTATAAGTAGCCAAACTCTAGTTTTATATTAAGAAGTAATTTGTACCCAATATTTTTTTCAAAAATATTCAGTATCACCATGAGATAATTAGATAGAGAGAGAGAGAGAGAGAATGAATAAGGTAAAAGCTTCAGAAAAGTCATTAAGAGTTGGGCTGTCAGGCCATAGCACACACATGGCAGTTCAGAATTATCAGTGACTCCAGCTCTATGAAATCCAACACCTTTATTAACAATGGGGAATGCACATTCTCATATCTATATAAATAAGAATAAAAAACTTTTAAGATATTAAGCATTTAATTTATCTCATTAAAGAATCACTTGTATAGCCAGGCGTTGGTGGTGCAAGCCTTTATTTAAGCACAGCACTCAGGAAGCAGTGGCAGTCGGAACTCTGTGACTTTGAGCCCAGCCTGGTCTACACAGCGAGTTCCATGACAGGCTCCAAAATACAACAGAGAAACCCTGTCTCGAAATACCAAAAAAAGAATCACTTGTATGCTGTAATTATGTTTTATTATTTATTCTCTTAAATATTAAGATTTGTATAAAGGTTGCTACATTAAAAGTGACTTTCTCTAGGAGCCTTCATTATAAGCACACAAATCAGTACACATGAAATAGATCATTCTGGAAGGATTTTTTACTTAGGCCACTTTTCTTTGTCTCAAGTACTTATTAAGATATATTGCATCTTGCAAACTCAACTTTGTGGCTTTTTTCTCTCATTTATACAGCCATCTGTAGTTACTATGAAATATTTGTCAGAAAAAAATCACAAAATATTTGAAGCACCAATGGCTCTCTTGTCTGTACTAAGATTTTTTTCTGTTTTTGTTGACATAAGGGTCTCACCATGAAACCCAGATTGGCTCAAAAGTTCTCATATATTTGTCTCTTCCTTTTGACGTAGGTGGGATTACAGACATTCCAACAGTAAATTTTCATAATGCTGCAGTGAAAATAGTAATAAGTCCCACTTCCTTAATCACCCTTTCTCCAACCACAGTGTTTACAAAATGGGTTTTGGAAAACTCATCTCTGTATTTGGCATGAGTTTGTAACCAGGTGTTACCTGCATGAGCCAAACTATATGAAGATTGAGGGCACAAGGATAAATGCTAATGTATAATGATAATAAATTTAATCTGAAAATAGAATGTGGTATATGAAATTTAGTGAACCATGTACTGGTTAGGTAGTGTATATCAGAGGAATCAAAGTCAATATTACCCATTTTTTAATTTTGTATATTTCTGTGGTGTTGATACTGAAAGCACAGGCTAGATTGTTCAACAAATTCAGTTTCTGAAGTTGTATCTCGGAAAGAAAGGAAGAAAGAAATGAAGGGAGGAATAAAGGAAGCAGGAAAGAAAGAATGGAAAGAAGGAATGAGTCAAGGAAAAAAGGAAGGAAGGAAGGATTCTGCCTGATTCATAGTCAGATTATCATTGGGATCCAAGGCTATTAACTAATCCTGACAAGAGCTATGTAAATTCTAAAACATCAACATTTTCTCCTGAAATTGAAAACTACTCTCCAGTAGTTGTATTTAGACACCTCAGACCACCAAGTATTAAGTGTCACATGAGGTGTATTTACAAAGTGTTTCCTATTCAATTCAATCCTTGTAAGTTTGTTCTAAAGTGGCCTTTAGGAGAAATACATCCATTTAAATAAAATCATACTTCTGAATACTAGAATATGTGAATGACAGTGTCTTCAAATGCTGCTGAGAACCACCAGTCATGTATTTCCTGATTCAGTAGGATATACTTCTTCCTTCCAGACCCACCTCTGGCAACTTGACTTTGTTACTTCACAGTGGAAGGTGTCTGAGAATATTGTTTGATACCAGCTTGACATAGGAGGTGCTGGGTTAAAGGAAGGTAAGTGTGTTACTTATTCTTCTCACTGTTGTCACAAAACCCATGGTCAAAGCAGCTGAAAGAGAAGAGAGATTCATTTGAATCACAATACACAGATAGTTCATAAAGAAAACGGTGAGTGGTCATTGATGCAGAAGCTGATCACTCACAAAAATTCTAAACATCAGTGCTGGGAGACAATTGGACCCTAAATGGAATGGTTATCTCAAACCTCTGAGATTCAGAAAACATTTTAGAAAGTTGTCAGGGAATCTGTAAGAGCTGATACTGTGGAGAATGGCAGCAGCAACAACAAACAGTTTTGGAAATGACAGAGCAAATGTGACCCACACAAGACCTGCACAGGAATGGGCTTGTCAACATTCATCATGGATGATATGGGTTTCCCAGGTCTACTTCCATCTGAGGGACAATAGTTTCTTAATGATTGCTCAGGAATGGGTGGCATTTTCTTTAGTGGTGTAGCCCCTGACAAATTGCCCTTTTCTCAGAAAATGACATCCTGAATACACTTAGGCAAGAAACTCCAACTTGACTTAGCAAGTTATACATTACAGAAGACATGACAGCAGAAAGGGATGGTGGTTTCAGCAAGAGAGGGAGAAGTATGAGAAAGGGCAGTAGGAATAATATCTAAATTTTATTATATAATGTCAGAAAATGTCACACAAAAAGAATAAAGGTGTGGTAATATATTATGTGTGATTTAGTAACGCTTGCTTGAGGATTCCAAAAGCAAAGGAACCCACAAACCATAGAAATCAGGCATAGACCTTTCATCCCAAGACTGTAAGTTCAAGGTTACCCAGATATACAAAAGATTGATCCAGTCCTAAAGAGAAACATCTAACACAAAAACACTCTCAGCACCTGGAAGCACACGCCTTTAAACCCAGCACTAAAGGGGTATAAAAGATAAGAGCAGGATCTTTAGTAGAGTACCAGGCATTCATTCTCCAGCCACACTGAGGATAGGAAGACATTGACGTCTCAGGATTTTCTAGCCACACTGAGGAGAGGTCATAGTCTGATGCTTGGTGGAGCCAGTATAGTCTTTCATTCTGAGGTAGGGTAAAAGACAGTGTCAACTGCTTTGCTTTTGTAATCTTCAGCTTGAAAACCCCAGTATCAGTCTCTGGGTCTTTTGTTTATCATGCTACAGAAAGGGGAAAAGGAAACGAGGAATCAAGGGAGGGAGGAAGGGAGCAATGGAGGAAGGAAAGAAGGGAGGAAGGAAAAATAGTGGGCAAAGGCAAGAAGACCAAAGCATCATGAATTCTGTTCTGTGTATAAAGGGCATGGACCAGATGTTAATGGAACCAGAGGAACTATTCTGGACATCACGTGCGGAGAAGATGGATCCTGGGAGCTGCTGGAACCAGAAGGACCAGCAGTGAAGAGGAGATGGATATAGACAACTAATGGACTAGGAGGACCAGTGATGTAGACAGTATTGATCCAAGAAGCCAGTGGAATCTGGAGGACCAGGTAGGGCCTTTGTGTCAGGGAGGCAGATGCATAGAACTGTTCAGTTAAGAAGTAATGCAGACAATCTTCCTCCAGTGACCCAGATCTTCAAAATGTCCACCCATCTCTGGATGAGATTTGTCACACTAAGGAAGTCAGTGGCCCCATCTTACCTCATTATTATACTTTACTTCCTCCTGGCTTTTAGAGCTAGGGATTTATTATGTTCTCCTCTGAGAAGAGCTAAACAGTAATCTGGTTGTTGACTAATTGACTGAATAATATAATATTTTCATTTTCTCTTTATTTTATTATTGTTTTAGTCTAAAATGTCTACATACTCATTATCTTTGTGTATCAGTCTCCCTAGGTGCTGGGTGTGTGTCTATGTGTCTTTCTGTGTATAATCTTTTATGTGTGTGTGCCTGTGTCTGTGTGTATAATCTTATATATCTGTGTATGTGTCTGTGTTTGTGTGTGTGTGTTGCTTAATGTTTGCTACTTCTATTTTCTCTACTGAATTCCAATTTAATAGACTACAATACATCATCAAGTAATAATTTTTTAAATATTTTTGATACAGGGATTCTTTCTGTAGCTTTGTAGACCAGACTATTTTTTTTTCAGATATAGAAGTGTGCACAGCAGCTTGTTCCGTATGCCCCCAGGCTTGGAAAATATTTTTCCAGTCCTTTCACCTAGGTAATGTCTATTGTTGATGTGGAGATGTGTGTCTTTCTTGCATCAGAAGCACGAATCCTGTTTTCACATTCATTTTGTTAGTCTTTGTCTTTGTATTGGTCAATTTAGATATTGAAATCTAACTAAACCCAATGGTTTTAAATCTTTTATTTTTTATTGGTAGTTTTAGTTCTCATTCTTTAATTGGTGTGTGTGTGTGTGCGTGGGTGTGCTTGTGTTTGTGTGTGTGTGTGTTTGTGTGTGTTTCAGTGTGGTCACATGTGCATGTGTGTTTTCCTTCTTGTTGTTTTTCTAGTTTGATATTTTTTCCATGGGTTTCCATGGATTTAGTTACTCTCCTTAGGTATGAATTTTGTTTCTAGCAGTTTCTCCAATGCTTTGTTTTAGACAGATATAGTTTCAGTTTGATTTTATAATGTAGTATCTTAATTTTTCCATGTCTGGGGATTGAATGTTGTGTAGGGTGTGGTAGTATTGGTTAGTATGTGTGGTCTCTTAGAGTCTGGAGCACTTCTGTCAGTGCCCTCGTGGCTCTTTGAATCTCCACTGAGATGTCAATTGTAATTTAGTAACATGGTCCTTTATGTTCTTAAAGCTTTTAATATTCTTGTCTTTAGTATCAGTTCAGTACTTATTATATTATGTGTCCATGGAATTTCTCTTCTGCTCCAGTCATTATGGTGTTTTGTTTGTTTCTTTTACGTGCCAGGAATCTCCTTTGAATAGGAATATGATCTTCAATGGTTTCATTGCTAATATTTTCTGGGCTTTTGAGCTGGGATTCTTCTTCCTCTAATGCAATTACTCTTATGTTTAAGCCTTTAAAAGTGTCCTGGAATGTTTGTATGTTTCGTGTCAGGATAATTTTAGAATTAATATTTTCTTAAACCCATATATCTGTTTTTCCTATCATACATTCAAAGCCTGAGATTTTCACACCCACCTCTTGTATTTTTTAGGCAATGTTTCCTCTGTAGTTACTGTTCATAATCCCATATTTTTCATTTCCAGAGCACCCTCTCCTGTATTTTATTCATGTATTTTGTTTCCATTTTTCGGTGTTGGATGTATTTTGTTGATATCTTCTATTATTTACTTGAGTGTGCTTGGATTTTTGCATTTCCTCCAAATACTTAGTTCTGAGCTTGGTTAAATGTTTTATATGTGGACCATTATCATCTTCATATGATATTACTTAATCATTTTATTGTTTGTTGTTTTGATATATTTTTATTTTGTTGTTGTGTGTCATGTCTATCAGCTATGTACAAATATTTGGCACATTCAGTACAGTAATATCTCGTATCTATAGGGGACATACCTCCCTCTGTGTTGTTCAACATGTTGCTCTGCTGGACTCTGAGCATCTGGGTTTGGGAAAAGTATGAGGTCGATGGGCAGATTTCTTCATTTGTTTTTGGTTTTTTTTTGTTACATGGATGCTTTGTTTATTGGATCAGTTTTCTCTCTAAGGATTTCAGAGATTTTTGTTTTTGCCACTTGTCTGCTGTGTGTCCTGCTATCTGTGTTTTTACAGGGAATGTCTGCACATGTTGGAGACTGGGCTGCTTGGTTGATATTGGGAGTGGAACATTGGATGACGTTCTTCTGTACGCTATGAATGGGGTCAGAGAGGAATGGGAGAGTGCAGCAGGTTTCCTAATACAGAGCTGGGGATGAGCCTGGGAGCATTGGATCTCTGAAAGTTGTGGTTCCCCCTAAAGCCTACTTGTTGCCCAAGGGACATACCTTTGGGACTCATAGGTGATGGTAGCAGAGGCAGAAGACAAGGCTTTCAGTGTGTTATGTTACAGAGCTAGGCATGAGTATGGGGGACTGCATCTTACAATGAGAGAGAGAAGAGAAGGCCTAGAGGAATCCTAAATGCCTTCCATCGGGAGTACATTTGAGGATTTTCATAGGCAGTTGAGTTCATTATATTCCAACATTCAGATTAATGGACAAATGTTAATTCCTGTGAATTTTCTAGTGTTTCTCAAAGTCCTTAAAGTTTTTTTTTCACTTCTGTAGACTTTAGTACAATTTATTTATTGCTGTCACTTCATAGGACTGTTTTCCAGTCCCTCAGAACACAGGGCATCTTCTGAAGTCATGACTTAATGGGTATAGTTGGTGTGTTTTGTATGTTCTAAGGAAGTTTTGTTTCTTTCTTTAACCAAGGGGTCATTCCTAGTAGACATACTCATGTAGGCTAGCCTTCAGAATCTTTGTGTGTTTCAGTAGGTTATAGTTTGCCTTCTTGGTACTTACAGTTTGAGTTGAGGATTCCACTATGCATGTATTGCCTTTGAATGCATGATATTTTCTTTTTTATTGTGTTATTTTTTGTGTGTATGAATGTCTATGAGTGTTCCTTATTGCTGCTTCATGGGTATGATAAAGCACTGATCAAAAACAAATTGGAGCAAGATCGACTGCCTTCCATCATGTGTTTTTATAAATTGTTTTCTAGGCAAGCCAAAACAGGAGAAAAGGCAGGACTTGGACATATGAGCTAAAGCAGAGACCACAGAGAACTGTTGTTCAGTGGCATGATTCTTCTGACTTGCTCAACAAATGTTCTCGTGTATTACATCTCTAACTACTTTGTGTCATATTTCTGAGCATAGATTTGGCCCCTCTCTATCAATCCTAACTACAGATCATTTCCCATAGTCATTCCCAGAAGTGAAATTCAGGGTTTCAACTACTGAATTGAATTTGTCTATTTCCTCGGGACACTTATTTGTGTTATATTGCAAGAGGGACAATTGTACATTGCTAATTCAATTGCAGTAGTCATTGTGGTCTCCTAATTGTATCTCAGATGTGTTGAAAGAGACATGACAATGTAAGCATTTCTCTGACTGATTTGTTTATTATTTTTCATGTTTTGGGTTCACGTTAATCCCAGGGTATAATAAAATATTAATGGATAGAATCATTGGTGCAAGAGCACATCGTGACTGGTCTCTGACATCTACTTCCCAGAAATTGATTAGTCTGTGTTCATGATAGTGTCAGAAGAAAGTCTAGATTGAATGTGTTGTGAGGTTTAAATGAGGAGATTGTGTGCAGTTAGTGTAAGTCAAAGGAACAAAGCAAGGTAATAAGTGTCTACAGTCCAGGTAGTAGAAAAAGATCTAGTTATGAAGCATGTCCTTGCACATTTCCTACATACCAATTTATATACCTAATGAAAAGTTGTCTTGGTGATCAACCACAGATATCTGTGCCCATAAGACTGAGATGTAATCGTGAGATGACATACACAAATCCCATGTGATAATACACAACAATGCATACATTGGGAAGATATCACAGTGCTTCATAAAATGAAAAGAACTGTTTTCAGAGTTGATATACATGCAGAGCTTGAATGGACAGGGGTAAGCTCCATCAGAGAATAACACATATGATAGGTTGACATCTGAACGTCATTTAGCACCTTCTGTAACTATGCCAGCCTCAAACAAGGCACCTGCTTCTACAGCATTGTTGTGGGTCACATCAGACATGTGCATTAATTCAAGTGGAAGGATTGAGCATGGCCATGTTTTTGCTTTTGGGTCAGTGTGCAGGGACTTTTTGAGTTTAGCAGACTACTAAGAGGTGTTATCATGCTCTGTGTCCCTAGGAAAGTGCTGGCAACTAGGAGTTAAGAGACCTGCCACTTGATCTCAAATACAAAGACTTTCTATTTTGTTTTATTTTTTTAATTTAAATTTAAGTTTAAATTGGAAACAAGGTTGCTTCACATGTCAATTTCACAACCTTCTCCCTTTCCCTTCCCTCCTCAACACCCTCCCACCAAACCCCCTCATTTCCCCAGGGAGGGTGAGGCCCTCCATAGGGGTGTCCATAGTCTACTATTTCATACAGGGCAGGGCCTAGACCCTCTCCACAGAGTCCAGGGTGAGAGTGCATCTCTCATTGTTGGATGGGTGTCCAAAGTCCATTTGTATACCCGGGATACATACTGATCTACTACCCAAGACTCAATAGATTACCTAGGCCTACTCAATGACACCCACGTTAGGGGGTCTTGATCAGTCCCATGCTAGATCCCAGCCATCAGTCTGGGATTCAAGAGCTAACCCTTGTAAGGTCAGCTGGTTTGGGGGTTTAACCAGCCCAGTCTTAATCCCTTTGCTCATGAGTCCTCCCACTCTGTCACTGAATTTCTTGAGTTCAGCTCAGTGTTTAGCTGTGGGAGTCTGCCTCTGCTTCCATCAGCCACTGAATGATGGTTCTGTTTCCCCAACTCTCTGGCATTGGGATTGGAGTCTGGCACTCCCCAGACCTGTGTCTAAAATCCATATATGAGAGAGTACATGCCATGTTTCTCATTTTGTGACTGGGTTACCTCACTCAGGATGTTTTCTTTTAGTGCCATCCATTTGCCTGCAATTGTCAGGATTCCATTGTTTTTTTTTGCTGAATAGTATTCCATTGATCTAAAATATAAAGACATCCTTAATTCATAAGTTAGTGCTTCCTAGCAACACACATGCCTGTTGAATCCTGTTCTTGTGGGATCAGTAGCTGCAAGTGATGGGAGGTTTTCAACCAGTAGTTGAATGGACTTTCTCACATTTGCTACAAAATCTGACTAATATGTGACTTTACAGGAAGCCTGTCTCCTGATAACATTGGCAATGGTAGGGCTTTACAGACTCTTGTCACCCTCAGTTGGGAATGTTTCTTTTTCAGAGATGGCATCATCGTATCATCTCGGTGCCTGAAAGGTTGGGGACAGTATCTCCAGGAAGACTAAAAATAAGTTTGAGGATCTGAAAGATGGTATCCTGCATGGGTAGAAAATGGCTCTGCCAGAAGCCATATGCCTGCTCAATTACAAGTGCCTGATGTGTGTGTAAGTCTCAGGAGATGTTGGCCAAGGAGATCTTCAAGACATCCTGAAATGTTAAGGCTGTTTAATCCTTGGGTTAGTTATAAGCCAGTATTAGATAATCATCCTACTGATTGAGTTGCAGGATATCAGGAATTCAGAATTCCTCTGAGCTGGAATTGGAATGCCCCTCTCTGATAGCAGGCTGGCTTCATAAAACAAACATGTTCTCCCATCATTTTTGGGAGGATCCTCAGAAACTCTCCTATTAGGGATTGGGCTGTTTCTCCTACACTATTAAAATGTCAAACAAGAAATATATTTATCGGTCCAATGAAGGCACAATTGCTAGCTATACTAGCAACAACTTTCCAATTTGATTTGGAAATACATGCACAGACAGGAATTCTTATCTTGTAACAAGATTATCTATACAGAATATTGTCTAGAACTTCTACACATCCTAAGTGGTTTTGTCTTAAACTGTTGTTCTTATTATCAAATGAGATTTACAGTGAGAGAAGCAATTGAAATGTGGATCATGATACATTTGTAACCACAGGAGTTTGGTTGCCAGGCTAACCGTGCTCAGGCCTTACCTCAGCTTAGAGTGTTCAACTTCGGGAAGCTTGTTCAATTAATCTCTCTCAATTTTCATCTGTAAATGAACATAATAATCATTTAAAACCTTGAATTAAAGTTATTCACTGTATATTCATCTCTTAATACCCAACCGGATTCAAAGTCTTTCCCTCCACCTATTTCTTGTTCCCCATCCCTATCTATGCCTCTTCTTCCTATTGCTCCTCATTCCTCCTGTTCTTCATTGGTCTTCACCTCCCTTCTTTCCTCTCCTCTTTTCCTCCCTCAGCTAACCATTTTCCTTCTGTTCCTTCATCCTTCACCCCCTCTTGCTCCTTCCCTTCATCCTAGACTTTATCCCTTATGTGTCACTTCTATCTCAAGTCTTCTCTCCCTCCTCCTTGACCTTTGTATGTAGATTGGTCTCTGTTAGCTTTTTTGTATTGCATGACATTGGATGTCGCCCAAGGAAGCTCTTAGGTCTGTATTGATCAGTCTAGAAACTCTGTTATGCTTACCAGAGTCTGTAGGTTTATGTTCTTGAGCTTTAGGATTATTGCTTGCCTTTGTAATTTCTCTCAACTTCCTGCTTATCTTTCCCAATTTTGCTTCTTAGAGAATTCCCTTAGTTGTCTTGTGTCTTGAAGCTCTTTTCCCTTTGATATTGTTATTGATGCTCACGTTGGAGTGCTTTTTGTGTGGAGTGGGACATCTTCACCATGGTACCATGCTGAATATATGTAATAAGGACTGATCTTTCTTTCCTTGTTACTCCTCAGAAACCTTTCCATATATCTTCATTTGAGAAGCTCACAGAGTGTCAGGTAAAACGTGTCACCAGGAGTTACAGATGTAATTGTTATCCCAGAAACTTTTTACTGCCAGCAGGGATGACCACTTCATCCACTATGTCCTGTAATTCCTGTTCTTGTCATTGTTTGCTCCTCAGGAGCTCCTGGTACCAGTGGACTAACAGATGTCTGTGTCATCTTGCCATTACTGGGAATATAACACAGATATTCCACAAGAGGAGCTAGTGTTCTTAACAGTTGGGTCATCTCTCTCACTCCAAAATTGTGGCAAATTTCGAATTATCATTATAGGATGATATAATTTAATATAAAATTAAGCTAAACGTTAGGAGAATATTTAAAATAACGTCTTGAAGTGACAAAATCCATGCTCCTTTCTTTCTAATTTTTTTGCCACTCAGCTCTATGGCCACTCTAGTCTTCCTACAGGTGTTCGGTCTGCCCCTTTAACAAATGTCTTCTTGGATACCTATTGGCTTTCACCTGCTTGATGACATCATTCCCCCTCAGCCAATAAGCACCAGATAGAGTTTTGAGGTTGCCTTGGAAATAACTGACAAAACGTTCCTCAGTGTTGAGCATCTTTTATTCTGCACAGACGTGGACCTTTGACTGTGAAACCCAACAACCCGTATTCTCATCCCTTTATTCATATCCTACTCCTTTTGAAACCTACAACCTGTTTTCTCATTCCTTTGTCCCTATCTACTCCTTTGTTCATTGTTCCTGACTTGAAGATGTCAGGTAGGAAAAGAAATTTTAATATTTGTTTAGTTGGACAGCTCCCCAAATTGGGAAGGATCAAACAATGTGGGATGAAGGGGAAAGTGCTGAACATCTGGTTGGTGTCCTAACTGTAGTCTTGGATTGGTCCTTTCCTAGTGTTATGAATTTGGAAATTCTGTTTCTCCCCCTATCACTAAATGTACTTTTACTTGGTGAAAAAAAAAAAAAAACAGGATGGCCAGAATCAGGGCCTTCTGATGAATTGAGTCTTTAGAACCATGCTATAGGGAAGGAAACCAGAGTTCCTGGGACTGTTTCCAGCTGAAGAAGAGAAAGAGATGGATATGTAGTCTGGACAAGTAAGGGCCATGATTCTTCCTTCTACCCTGTTTTCCACATTAGCATTTCCATGTTAGTGCTGTGGAGCAGTGCATTTGAGATGTCAGGGGAACTGCCTGCCACATCTGCCACTCCTCCATGATTGCCTCCAAGGTTGCCTTGGCTGAATTTACTGAATAGACATCTGTGTCCAGGTCTTGGTTCAGTTAGCAACCTTTCTAGACCTGGGGGATATCAGTTAGGCCTGGACATTCATGGGAGAGACCGGGACTGTGTTTCATGTATGAAGCACAGGAAGCATCTGTCTTCCTTACTGTGATCTTCCAAACCAACTAACTCAAGGTAGTGTCAGTTTCCTAACTGTCTGGTCAAGTGTGTTCCATGAGCACTTGGGAGCTGAGTAGCTGAGTCACCACCAGTTCATGACTGACACCGTCTGTTACATAATGAATTCCCAGAGAACATATCCTATAAAGTAAAGCCCTTTCCAAATTTAAAGGAATCTTTCTTCACGTTAAAATTCTTTGTAATTTTTCCATCATAATATTTTTGTTCATTATTTGGAGAATTTATTCAATTCATCTAATCAAACTAATTTCCTAATCCTGCCATTCCATCATGCCATACCTCTGTGCATCCAAAAAAGAAGCAAAGAAATGAAAAGAAAAGTGAGTGTAGCAAGTCTAATTGTTGTTGTCCATATACTCCTTGGAGAATTGTCAACGTCTCACCCCTTAAGGATAACTGAGTCCCTCCTTATACATAACTACGTCCTCCTGCCAGAGCAATCATGGGTTTAGAACAACACTTTAGCACCTTTATCACAATTTATGGACTCTCTTTAGTGTCTCATGGTCTTGACTCTTTTCTTTATTTTGAGGGAGGTAAAGTCTTCTGTGATAAGTCTCTCATTCTCAGTGATGAGTCTGCTGTCATAGGCACCATTGAAAAGGGACTTTCCTAGCTCATAACAGCCAGTGACAGCACCCAGCAGTGACTTCTACAATGTTTTAGGTGTGAGCCTGGACTATGGAAACCAGCATGGCATTCAGATACAGGACAGTGTCTAGAGTTCTTTTAAAGAGGCCCAATTCATAAAGAACAATTCTCCATCTCTAATACTGTGAGCTTCTGTATCTCAAGTTTCACTTCCCTCTGCCTGTGCATGGAGCTCTGCTCTGCTCTTTGAAACCTTTTTTATTTCAATATAATGACACTGTTTTTGAGAAGTGCCTTCCCCTGAGACTTGAAATGTTTTAGTTGTTTCTGAGATGCTTTTTGCTCTTTCAGATTCATCTGCTGCTGTCTTCTCTCCCCTCTGTACCTCTATGAGCCTCTCGGGCTCCTTGGAGCTGCTCCATGGTTCTGTAGATGCCAGTAGCCACTGCTATCTTGAGTTGATCTGCATTGTAAATTCTTGGAATTTTTTTATTTAATCCCTGTTTTTTCCATTGAAATTGTAGTCAGATTCTGGCTTCTATGTCATCTATTTGAGAATTGCGTAAATTGACATTGATTATTGGAGAAGCAAAGGATTTGTTTTCCTAATTATATATCTGTTGACAGGCAAAATTTTTGAACCTTGGCTCATACACCAACAGAGCTTTCCAGGACTTTTCACTGCTATGGACCCAAATGCGGTAAGTATCATGGCTGCTGAAAAGAAAGTTGTTTTCCTTGCAATCATATGGGGACAATTTAAAGACCTGGTGTCTTTTTTTATTTTAAGTAGTGAATCTCACTTTTATTCTCCCTAGTGATCATGTCTCACTTTTTCTTTTTTCTTACCAGTAGAATCACAGCAAACAGGTCAATACAAAGAGTAATTTGTGTTTAGAATTCATTGTGCTTCTGCTCTCAAACACACTGTCTCTCTAGAAAACTTTCAAGACAGGCTTGTGCAATGCTGTGCTCAATGGAGGTTTATTTCCTCCTGTAGCTTCTCAGGCTAAGTTCCTAGAATACTTATCCATCAGGAACTGAGATTTTCTTGCACATTGTCATGAAAAAGCTATCCAAGACTTGAGTATCACAGGTACTAATTACATTATTGAGGGCACACATTCACAAACCCTTTTGTTTGTAGCTGGGATTGCAATTTGGAAGGCTCGAGTTTACTCCAAGCTGGAGTGCTCCCTATTTGCCATTGGTGATATCAGAAGAAGTCTATGTGCAAATTGCTGTGTTTATGATTATGCACAACCCTCTGATGTGTGCACAACCACTGATAGTAGATTTCTCTAGAGGTTGTCTCAATAGAAATTCTGTTTGTAAGATCTGTTCCTGAAGTTAACTGCTACACATTGGATCCTATTCAACCATTTTCAACCATAGTGAGGGATCCTAGGATGGGGCTATGATTTGTTCACTAAATTTACTGAGCTGAATCACTAAATGTGGTTCTTTATTTACTCTAATTTCATTAGTGAAAGATTCTCTCTCTCTGTCTCTCTCTCTTTCCCTCTGTCTCTCAATCACACAGGCACACACACACAATATGTGTTTCGGTTATTTATAGCTAGAATAACTGGATATCAGAATATCAGGAGACAACTTCTGATGTTCCCCATCTTCTCTTTCTATTTTAGAAAAGGGGCGCCATGAGAACATACAGAGATGTTTCTCTTCCACCCCAAGAACGTTTCCAAATGTTAATTCATGTGGGGATGACAATTGAGGTCAGCAAGAAAGTTCCATTGAAGACATATGTAAAAATGAAGGATGACCTCATAAAGGTGGCAGCTGACCTTCAAAGAAAAGAACTGGAAGAGGAAGCATTTGTGGAGTACCACAAATTTTTAACGTGAGTGCTGAAAATTTCTGTCTCCTTTCCTATTACTGACTCATCACTAATCATGTCCTCCTCTTCATGCTTTTGACCTGTGCTAACCTCATTGAACTTGACAAAGACATCTGTTAGTCAGATTTCTGCCAACTCTGACACATGCTTTTCCTTAGTATTGAAAGACATGAGGACCAAAGGCTGTGGTATAACAAATATGGGATTTCAAGTGTAGTTTGTGACCACATGGCCCAGATTTTAGTTGTAAGAGTTGTCAGGTATACAGGATGTGTCAGCATAGGTGAGTGTGTTCACTGCTCTATGTCCACCAAGGCATCCAGCCACAGGCTTATTGCTGTGTGTTGCAGAACCCAGAATCCTCTTGTCTTAATCATGTAACCTATTGATTAGGATAAGAAACAGGTTAGCCTTTCATGTTGCTACACAGTCACCAGAGATTTTTGGACTACCTGGGGTCCAAGTGGCTCAGCACAGTTCCTGTGCTGTTCATTGTACTTGAGTAGGCAGAATAAATACAGCGTGGCAGAAATGTCACCTGAAATGACACTTATATATCCTTAGTGACAAGAATGTTATGTGCTTGAGGAAGGATGGTGAAAGTCTCACCACTCATGCTTATCCCCGAGCTTGATGAAAGACAACCTAAGCACATATATGCAGGTGACTCTATGGTACCCAGGCACTGGAGAATAATGTGTAGGCATGACATCATTGGTCTTTGGAAGACTGTGTGTGCTGAGTAGGCACATCACCATCTCTTTCTACAGAGGAAAAGAAATCTCAGATTTAGACATGAACTCAGATACAACAGTTTACACCCTCTGGGTACAATATCTTACTATGCTCCACTGCACAGCTCCCCAAAGCTCTATGTACCCCCAGTATCTCCTTTCACTATCTATTGCTCTCAGAGGTGAGGTTTGCCCTGCTGGGGAACAGTGCACTATGCTGCTGTAGGAGCAAACATTGACATAGTTATTGAGAGTGGAAGAATGAGAACACTGTATTCTACATGAAGTTCAGGAGGATGCTCTGGTTCCTCACAGTTCTGTGAGTTCATTAACTCTATCTGCTTTCTCCTGAGTATTGGGGTGACAAGCAAGCACCATGCCTGCTTTCATGTACTTCTTGATGGCTGATGCTTCCTGAATGTACCAGCTGATGGAAGCATGAGGACCATTCTCTCTCCAGACACTGGGAGGAAAAGGGTGGGACTTCAGGATGTGCCTCTTCTCACTCCAGAAACTTCAGAAACTAAGCGTTGAGAGGCAAGATTTCTTCAGGGCATTTGGAACTTTTCTACACACCATAGTCACTCTGCTTTTTTCCTTTAGACTCTTTGTGGAGAAACTCAGAAAAGGCCCAGAATACCTCAACTGCCTGTCCAAGGGAACAAGATCCAAAATCAACAAGGTAGGTCTTCATTATCTATATGGCAGACCTAAAATCTCTAGAGCAACAGGGAGTTTCTCCGGTGGGTGGGGAGCTGATGCTGTCTCAGCATCACAGTACAGAGGAAAGGGATTGCAGGTAAGGGGATTCAAGTCATGCATGAGATACTGCTGCCCCTCCCCACTTGTTTTCTCTCCATCTTTTCTGACTTTAGGACTGTTCTCATTTTTTTTCGGGTTGTGTGTTGCAGACTATAAATAGAGTCTTTGTTATTGCTGAGACTCTGAAGAGCAAACTCCTGACAAAATACAACAAGGAGTATGAAGGTTACCTGGCAGATAAGGTCAGTGCGTAAGCATGAAGACATGTTTGTGTGTCATCCAGTCAGCCTGTGACCTGGGACTGTGTAGTGCGGTTTCTGTGAATCTGTGTTCAATAGACGTGCTCCACACTCACTTGAACACATATGCACCTGTATCCATAGAAGCCAACACACTCTACACACACACACACACACACACACACACACACACACACACACACACACAGAGTGCACTAGGGGACTCATAACATTGAGACAGAATTGTTACTTAGGACAACTATATAGCAACTGCGTAAGGCGGTGTTGGTTTTTTTCTTAGTACCAGGGTTATGAAAGAAGTGTGGACACTATGAAGAGATGACAGAACTGATTGCATCTATACTTTGTTTGTCTCTTTGCTGACGATTCTTTTTCTTCTGAGATTTCAAGTATGAGAATACTCCTATTTTTCTTTCTAAAGAAAAAAAGAGAAGAGGAAGAGGCAGAAAATAAGGCCTTTTGGCAAGACTTGAGGAATACAATCAGAAACTCACCAGAGTTTGCCAAATGGAGCTCTCTGGTGGAGAGATTGGTGCACGGGGCTGAGAAAGATAGTGGAGAGGTCAGTTCCAGCCTGGTATCAGCATCAAAAAGTGCTGAAGAGTCTTTGGCAGAAAGCACTCCACAGGAAGCCTATGAAGAGGTCACCCCCAACACATCAACAGACAACCAGGGTGGAGAGACTAAGATGGTGGAAAGCCCAGGTAAGTCCCCACAGGTTCATGACTTGGAAAGACTCATGTGAAGTGGACTCCATTGCATCTGGTCAGCCACACACACTTGAGACTGCAGCTCAGCAGGAAAGAGGGGAGCCACTAGTGACCATGTATATGAAGTCTGGAGCACTGAGCAGCACAGAGCAAGATTCATCCCCTTTTCCTTGTCCTCAGTCTTTCAGTTCCCTGTATCCACTTTGCTGTGGTAACAGAACCTAATGTGATTAGTGTTGTCACTCTCCTTCCTGCCACACTGACTGTCTTGCAATAATAGTCTTTAACTTAGTTTAAGTCACATCAGTTTCTTCAAAACTTGTTGGATTCATGTCCTCATCTTTTCAGTGCTCTGTAGAGATTAGAGGAAGCACATTAAGAAATACTGAATCGTCTCCCATTGTAAGGAATGTACTGTGAATTTTTAATTCCTAAATGTTGGACTCTCAGTTGATCTTATGACCCATCCAACAATGTGAGATGTACTCTCACTCTTAACTCTTGGGGAAAGGTCTAGGCCCTGTCCTGGATGAAATGACAGACTATGGACAGCCCCATGGAGGGCCTCACCCTCCCTGGGAAAATGAGGGGATATTGGGGTGGTAGGGGAATGGCACAGGAGGAGGGGAGGGTAACGGAGAGGGACCTGGAACTGACTTGTGAAGCAACCTTGTTTCTAATCTAAATTTAAACTTAAAAATAAATAAAAAATAAAGAAATCTAAAATCACAAATAAAAGAAATACCGAATCATCTCCCATTGTAAGGAATGTATTGTGAATTGTTAATTTCTAAATGTTGGACTCTCAGTTGATCTTATGATATAATGGAAAGATGTGAAGGCAAGAGAATTTCGGTTGTAGGAGGTTATGTTTTCTGCACAAGGGATACCTTAGTAGGAAATCCTCAAGTTGATCAGGGAGATAATGACACTGTGACTGAAGTGCTAGCAGTGACAGTGTTAGAAGCTGGGTTGGAATCAACAGAGAGCATCTGACAACTGGGTTTGGTCGGCTACCTCTCTATTCAAAGTTCTCTTTGGGTTGCAAGGGTCTCCTCCAACCATACAACATGCCTTATTTGGGAATGTCTTTGATGGTGTGACGTTGAAAAAGAATCTGTATATGTTTGCATGTAACTGCAACTTCTTAATATTTGATTGTTATGGATGATTTTCACCCCAGCCTGGTCTCATACCCACCTTGCCACAAATGAACACACAAATATTAATGTTGATATGTTGATTATAATTCTGTTGGCCTATTCCTAGGGCTACTTATTGGCTTTTGCTCTCTTCATTATTAAAAAATAACTACTAATTTATGTATATTTCCATGCTCTTATCTTATCGGGGACTGCAGGAATCATGTCTTCTCTTCCTTGGATGACATATAGACTGCACTCTGCCTACATTTGATGGGGTTCCTATGACCTCACAGCTTTTGGTTAAATGGACAACATGAATTAGGTTGCCCACAACAGGCTTTCTTCAAGGTTGACCATTGGGAATAGTAGTAGGTAGGCATAATCTATGTCTGAAAGTCTCAGGCCATGGGAACCTGTCTTGTGAAAATCAGTCTCTAGTTCCATGAGGAACCAGAGAAATGTACCTCCAGACATGAGAGTCCAGGGGCCACCAGGATTGCAGATCTGAACAATGGGCAAAGAAGATATGTCTGGTCCAGTAGTGACACATTGGAATTTTACATTTTCTTTGTCTGTCTGTCCTGTTGAGCTCTCAAAGGGATTTCTGTTACTCACCTGTGTTGAGAGTAGACTTTAAACACTGAGTTTGTGAGTCCTTTTAGAAATTTCTGTACAACCAATTCACAGCCACACCCAGAAACATGTAGTTTCATCCACACAAGCAAACAATGAAGTCCTTGCTCACAGCTACCACTCAGTTGTGGCCAACACTTGAAGAAGCAACATCCTACCTGCTTTGTGGTTATTGTATAGGGAGGAGATTTCAGGAGAGATTCCCATTGATTTTGTGTTTTTTCACAACAGTACCATGCTGAGCTCTACTCAGGCACACCAGAACCTGTAACCTCAGATTTCTCCCTCTTTTCCATTTCAGGACAGAACTCCAAAGGCCTCCACACTGTGGTCCTTCCAAAGGACCTTTGTAAACAGTTCCTCCGTTCTGCACGGAAGAACACCAAGAAAGGCATAGAGACATGTGGTGTGCTATGTGGCACTCTGGTAAAGATCTTAAAATTTCTTCTTGAGTTGAGGCAGTTTCTTCCCTTTGGCTGCCCAGGTCCCTCAGAAAACATATCCAGGGGCAGTGTCCATACATACCACTCCACAGAAGGAAAGTTGGTGAAAAGGCCTGAGCTACCTGAATTTGTTGGCTGTATTATGTTGTTATTCAGAGATCCTCTTCAATGTCATGTTAGATATTTTCATTCTAGTCATGGCTAATGCCTGTAATCCTAGCCATTGGCAAACTGAGACTGGATGTTTCCCACAAGTTCAAAGCAGGATCACATATGGAGAGAGACAGTGAAGTAAAAGCATCCAGGCTTGCAGACAGAAATGTGTAAATGAGTCATGGAGACAGCTCCTTGTCTCATTCTAAAAGGAGGAGGGGTCAATAATTTATGTGGCCTGGTCTGAGCACCCACACTGTGCTGATACTTGCAATATAAATTAAATACTTCAAGACCTCCAAATAGACCCAATGGCTGCTGAAGGGAAGACCCTAGGCCAAGGGTGTGCTATGAGAGACATCTTGTGGTCATGTCATCATCCTTCCTTTCATATGGTTACCCAACAATGCACTGGAACAGCCAAGGTGGGGAAATGCTGAGGTGAGGGAAATTGATGAGAGTCATTCACGGGGGTGAGGGCTTCACTTACTTATGTTACGAGAGAGTGGGATTGACAATGTCAGGGAGTGGTAACAATCTATTTTCTTTTGACAGGTAAAGGACGAATACCATGTCTCCCATGTCATTATTCCTGTGCAGAAAGGAGGTCCCGATTACTGTTATGCTCAGAATGAGGAAACCATCTTATTTGTGCAAGAAGAACTGGGCCTTCTCACCCTAGGTTGGATTCATGTAAGCAAACTGACCTCACTGGTAGCGAGCTGCTCTTCTGAGTGCACTGCCCAGATCTGTCTCTACACAGAGTCAACCCATTCCAGATCAACCCATGTGTCTCTGAGCACATGCAGTCACTAGTGTTCCAGTGTTGAGTCAAAGGCACATTTCCTGGTGCATTTCAGCTTTACTAGTTCAGCTCTTACTCATTATATTTCTTCAATGTCCCAATTCCTTATAAGTGTATGGAGAATGCTAGCTTCCCTAGGATGTATGGGAAAGTGCTGTAGACTCCATGTACCTAAAAGCTGTATGGAAGTATTTTAACTAAGTCAAGAGAGTTCATTCTCATGATTGCATTTTGTCTTTATGAAGGAGCACTTGTTATATACATACACAAAAGTCTCCTTCACTCAAGGGTCAAATATCTGAACAATCTGTGCAGAATTGTGGTGATCTTCAAGAAATCACATTTCCTCCATAGAGATTCCTTTGAAGGATTCTCTCCTGTTCAAGGCCTCAAACTGACATGACAGGCAGCTCTGATTGGAATGAGACAGGTGTAAGCCACACTCAATTATTTCTAGGTTTTTAGAGCTCACAGGTATTTGTACTCACTGCTTGTGGAGCACTGATGTGTGGGCAGTCTTCTGTGTCTTCATGCTTCAGTTGCATAAGAATTCACTTATTTCCCTATCAATAATATACCATGACAGTAAGGAAATCTGGCCCTTTGAGAATGGACACAAATAGGAGGTAAAACAAAAAACTAGCACCAATTCACATGAGGCAGGGTGCAAGTTACTATTCTGGATGTAGATACAGGGCACTGTGGGATTCAGAGGAAGAGGAGTCCCACCTGAGGTTTTGTATAAAGAGGAAGCAAAAGAGAGGTCAATGTCATTCTTAACATGTATCTTTCAGTAGTCTTGGTTGGGATGTCAGGTTTGTGTCAAGCCAACCCTTCAGAGCCATATTGTCCTTTGTTCCTTATGGGTAGGAAGAACAGTGTTTTTTTTGAATAAATGGAGAGCTCCATGGGATAATTAGGGTAGCACAATGATGTGACTGAATCCAGACTCCAGAAGATAAAAGGAAGGATTTGCAAGGCTGGTTGCAGAGCAGAGGTCATTTAATGTGTGGAAGCTGCTAACTTCTAATGATGATGGGAGTGTGATGGCCATGTGTTCAGAATGTGGGACTTCAGAGATTCAGGACTGAGGAATTGAGGTTGAGAAATCTGTATCAGGGCAACCTTGCAGTGAGTTCATGGAGATGGCAGAGATCCTCTCATAAGCTTCAATATGGGATCTAGAGGAAGACTGATTTTAAGAGGGGTTCTTCCAAGGTCTTTCAAATCCCGGCTATTTCAGACATTTATGTATTCAGAGGACAAAAGAGATCAATCCCTCTTCCATCTCCTCCTAGACGAATAAAGTGTTTTTTCTGACATTATGTGGGGAACTATGGTGGGAGCCAGTCTTTTAAAATCCTTGGGACCTCCTCCTTTGGTTCACATATGGGTCTCACTGGGAATTCTTGAATTCTTTTGTCTCTTTAGACGCATCCAACCCAGACAGCCTTCTTGTCGAGTGTGGATGTACACACACATTTTTCTTACCAGACAATGCTGCCAGAATCAATTGCAGTGGTCTGCTCACCCAAATATAAACAGTGAGTATGTCTGATTCGAACCTGGAAGATCAAGTGCAAACTCCTGTATGGCTCAGAACACTTTAAAAACTAATATCCAGAGGGTCTCAATTGATTGCTATAGAAGTGTCCCTTTATGGAGCACATTCTAGTTAACACCAGCTGCTCTTAAAAGATGTGCTGATATCACTACTAGTTTTCTAAGGAAAACTGCCATGAAGTTTCTTCTAAAGCCAGAGGTTGAAAAAGTCAATACCAAACACTTCCGAATAGTGTCATTCTATATCATTCCAAATGTCTTGTTAGTCAGTATTATTTAGCAGATCTAGTGTTGGGAAAGCAAGTCATCATCTTGCTTTTCTTGGACTAATTTTTGTAGTCTGGAAAGTGTCCCAGGGGATCTAGTGGTCTCGGGTTTTAGCATAACCCCCACTTGTTCCTCACAATGTTTGGCCTGAACAGACCTACCTTTTTGCTTTATTCTTCTTCCTTCTCATTTCTATTATTAAGTTCCCCTGTTCCATTAAGTCAATCTAGATGAAAGAGATCAGAAGAGATAAAGACAGAGAGAGACATAAACAGAAAGTGGTAAGAAGAAGAAGAATGAGGAGGAGGTCAAAGAGAGGAAGAGAAGAAATAAGAGAGCAGGTGGGAGGTGGATTGGGACTATGACAAAGAAGACAAGTTCTAACACAACCAATGACAGTGATCACTCAGAATAGAAGGAGGACTTCCACATCATTTCTGAGGGAGGAAGAATTGTGCAGAGAAGAGGAGAGACAGGAGGAGACGATGGGGAAAGGATACAGAAGTGAAAGAGAAAGGAGAGAGGTCATAGGAGAGGAAAAAGAGAGGAAGAAAAGAAGGAAAAGCAGAGAAAAGAGGAGAGAAAGGTTTAGGGTAGAGAGAGGAAGGAGATGCATGGGATATCTGATTGACTGTGATGCTGTCTTTTCTAATTTCAGAACTGGAATTTTCACACTGACACCTTTTGGATTAAATGAAATATCAATCTGCACCCAGAGGGGCTTCCATCCCCATAATCAGGACTCAGCTATATTCTGTGTACGTATCTGTGAACAAGAAATCGAGCCGATGTTCCCACCCAGTACATAGACCTGATAAGCCTTATCATCCTTTGTTCACCTTCATGGATGTTTGGCATCATCGCACACCTTCCTAGAAATCCATTGTAACCATTTATCTAGGAAGGAGTGGGCAGTAGATATAAGTGCCTTATATTTGAAACATTGTCATTTGCTTTGTTTGAGGATGCTGACAATCCTACCCCTTTTCCTGATGTCTGGAGATACTAATACTATGCACTTTCCAGGCTGTTGAGTGGAGAAGGAAAGAAGGACTAGGGTGGACTCAGGGACAGAGGGTGTGCTCAGTAGGTCTGATGTCCTGGATACATCCCTAGGAACATGGTGAAAAGAAGTAACCGACAAATCATGGACTCCATTAGCTTATTCAAGATTTATTACATGTTAATTTGTTCTTCATCATTGTCAGCTACTAAACATAAGTTGGTGATATGGATGCCAAAGAAAGTGCCAAGTAAGATAGGTAAATTAAGCATATTCATCCCAGAGTATTGATTCAAAAGCAGGGTTTTCAGGTGCCTAGGGAGATGATTTCTTCTCCAATGTTTTGTCTAGGATAATACACTTGGCCTGATCAGACCTCAGGGCTTAAGATCAGTCTCAGATCATTGAGATTCTGGGACTTTACTTCAATTAACCATGGACTTTTCTATTCAGTTTAATTCAGAGAAAACATAGTACCATTATGAGAAGACCAGAACACTATCCCATAAAATTTGTGTTAAGAGGCAGGGATACAGCCAAAGAGGTTCAAGGAAGACTGAGATCCTAGGTTCAGTGTGCTAATTCCAAGAATTAGAACTCAGTGTCTGTGTTATAAGTATCATAATAAATGTGTATGAGCATTTGTAAATTGTTTGCATCATACTCCTTATCTTAACAGGAAACTGAGACCTAATAACATTTCAACTGTCTTTTAAAAAACATTTATACACATTTATATTTCATTATGTTTATTTATGCAACTTCATTGTGTAGTCATTTAAAATTAGACCCTTCGTTTATTTTACTTCTGTGTCTCTGTGGATTTGCACATGTGAGTTTAGTGCCTGTCTGTTACAAGAATTCTTCAGATGCCCTAGATCTGGAGTCAAGCAATTGTGCACTGCCTACCTCCCTGCAAGAGCAGTGGGTATTTTTAAACAAAGCACCATACATGAGCACCCATTGTCTCGTCTCATGGGTAAACCCAGTGTTTTCAGATGATGTGGGGAAGGACTTTCTGGAAATGTGTTCAAAAACACATAACTCTAAATTGGGATATGGGTAATGCTTATATACTAGGATATTGAAAGATACTGCACACTTTTAAACAAATTATCTGGAACACCAGTTCCCTATTTCCCAATTGCAAAATCTTCTTCTGAATCTGGCCATGGTGGAACACACACACACATTATCAGGTCTTGTTCAGTTGCAGCAAGAGTTTACCAATCTGAGGCCATCTGAGGTTACATAACAACAGTTTCAGACTGATAAATCCCTGAACATGTATGCCAAGTGAGCATCCCCTAAAGGCCTATTAGGTCACCTTTGCCATCTGAATGGAATAATGACACTAAAACTACACTGAACTATTTGGACTCTTTTAATAAGGAACTATTTCCTAAGTGAGTCTGGAAAATAGAGGGCAAAGATCCATGGGGAGACACTGACTCTGACCATGAGGAGTACTAGGTTGAAGTCTTGGGTGCCAGATTATGTTTTATTATAATATTTCTATTTTATGTATTTTTTAAATTTACATTGGAAGCAAGGTTGTTTCACATGCCAGTCCCACATCCCTCTCACTCTCCCACACATCCTCAAATGCCCTTCCACCAAACCCCTCTCCCCTATGCCTCAATCCCACTCCTTTCTTCTGTGAGGGTGAGGCCCTCCATGGGGGTTATCTCATAGTCTGTCATTACATCTAGGGCAGGGTCTAGGACCGGACCCCAAGAGTTCAGGTTAAGAGAGTATCTCTCATTGTGTGATGGGCATCCGAAGTCGATTCAAAAGCCAGGGATAAATATTTATCTAGTACCCAAGCCCCATCGATTGTGTTGACCTCCTCACTGACACCCACATTCAGGGGGTCTGGATAAGTCCCATGCTGGATTCCCAGCCATCAGTCTGGAGTTCAAGAGCTCCCCCTTGCTCAGGTCAGCTGTTTCTATGGCTTAAAGAAACCCAGGCTGGACCCCTATGATCATCAGTCCTCCCTCTCTGTCACTGGGTTCCTTGAGATCAGCTCATTGTTTAGCTGTGGGTGTTTGACTCTGCTTCCAGCAGTCATTGGTTGAAGGTTCTGTTTACTAGACTGGCTGGCAGTGTGATTGTAGGCTGGCACTCCCCTGATCCATGCCTACAATCCATATAAGAGTGAGTACATACCATGTTTATCTTTTTGTGACAGATCTTTTCACATTGCTTCTAATGTCATCAGGATTTCACCTCTAGGCTGAGAAATATCTGCTTTCATGGAACATCTTGAATCAGCAACTTACTACTGGGGATATGACTCAGTTGAGGGAGTGTTTCTATTTTGAGTGCTAGGACCTCGAGTTATTTCTCAGCACTGCTGAAATCAGCCATGATGGTGTTTGCTTAAAATTTAGCACCTGGGAGATAGAAGCAGGAGGATAATTTCAGGATCCTGCTGGTTATCCTAAGGCTATGTGTTCTAACCTGGGACATATGAGGCTCTCTTTTGGTGTAATATAAAAAGTATAAGTTGTTTCCCAAGAGTTTTCCAAGCCTTGACCACATTTCCTGTTCTCCAATTGCAGGACTGCAGTCATGTCACCTTTCAAAACAGCAGGGTGACCATCACGGATCTGCGATGAGTAAATCAAAGCTCGCACCCACATCAGTGGGAGTGTTTGTGTGTGTGTGTGTGTGTGTGTGTGTGTGTGTGTGTGTGTGTTTGTGTGTGTGTGTGTTTGTGTATATGTGAGTGAATGTAGGGTGGTATATATATATCTGTATGTATGTTAAACTTTGTCATGTTATATCTGTTATGTATGTTCACTTGTATTTATGTATCACACAATGTGCTCATTCACAGCGCCCAGATGAACTTACTTTTTTATTGCAGTTTTACCAGTTAGGAAAAAGCATGGATAAAGCAGAAGATTGTGACACATAAAGGAAAGAGCTCTTGAGGATACATCCTGAGTCTAGATGTGAGAACACAAAAAATTCATTTTACTTACAAGGTGAGGTGACTGTTTCTGCCATGTGAGTAAGAACTTTCTGGAATAATGCACAAGTTGGGAAATGTGATTATTAGAACATCATGGAAAAAACCCTTAGTTCAATCTCTACAACACAATAGAAACATAGTCTTACATATGTTTTGGTATATGACAGTATTTGCAGTTCATAACTGAACATTGAGGGTACAGATTGGAGTGAGGATTGGCTTAATTGAGTCAGGAGAGAAAATTCATCAAAGGTGTATCCTACATGAATTTCAATTCTAAGTTGTGAATATACATTTCTGTTTCTTGTTTTAGCCTCCTACATTTCTAATGTGACCTGTAGCTAGAAACCCTTTGACTAATGACTTTTCTTAGTTAAAACTGATTATATGGAAACTTTTAACATGAAAAAGGGAAGTGTATTACCTGAGAAAGAAAAGTACAAAACACAAATTTTTAAATTTTCTCCTATTAGAATCATTTACAGATTATATACACTGTACAAAAAGGAATAAGACAAAGGGGTCAAGTACTTAATGTCAAGAAGGTATAATAGTACATTTAAGAACATGATGGGATTTCAAATTTGATAAAGATTCCTTCCATTGAATTGTAGAAACTCATTGTCAGAAAGGATTTGGACATGAATGGGAGCCTCTGGTTACCTCTTCATAATGACTAGCTGCTTGGTAAACTATTTATTCTTAAATCCATTTAACATATCTATCCCTAAAGGAAAGCAAATTTTATTTCCATCACCCGATATACAATCATCTGGACCAATTTTGTTTTTTGTGCAAATATCTGATAATGTAATATTTCCCTACTTGAAATCTTTCAGTAAATCATCAGTTATATTATTTAGAATTATTAATATTACCCTTATGTGGGATACATGTAATTGTTCTTTAATTTTTAAATTATTCCTATGACCTATGAAAATTTTAGTTATTTCATAAGCAGTTAATTCTTTTTTTATTTTATATTCATATATTGGGAAGTACTTTCTAAATCGAATGTTGCCACATATTAACCCAGTCATCTTCCCATTCATCTGAATTAGAAATACATATATTTGACTGGTTTGTATTGTGCATATACATCTGTGCTTTCATTTCATATTGCTTTAATTTAAGTTTTAATTGTTTTATTATAGTAAAAGATTGTCACAATTCAAGTATTCATAATTCACTCTTTTTTAGTGTATCTCCTCTTCTAACACAATTTGCATAATTGGAGATCATACAATTAGTAGTAAGGATTAACAAACTACTAATGGAATAACAGTACTTAATGTAAGAATGATTTCTTCAAATGATAAGGTAATTATGCAATAATACTTTGCTTCAACTCTACCTGTTGCTTGTTTGAATTTTTATCATCTGTGGGTTGGAAAGACTGATTGCATTTGCAGCACAAAGGAAAAAAGCAAAATTAGATTTGCTATTAATAGTTGACATAGATGGTGAGTGCTCAAACTCTATATCACATTTGTAGGATTTAGCCAATATTAATTCATAGGCACAAATCAATCGGTTAATTCATTAATAGGCACAAGTAAAGAAAGATACCTTCATTTTTTCTGAGCAACAATGCTCACTGTCAGTATTTACAGACTACAAGTTCATCAAGTTTAGTTATCCTTTATGCAGTTGTGTTTTCATCTGTAAATTTGGAATAACCTCTGGGTGATTAGGTGTTATAACAGTAGATACTATATCATATAATTTACTATCATCAGCCTTTAATATTCCCCAAGGCCCATATCTTCATTTATTTTTGTATTCTGGGATCAATATTTCTCAGATCTCAATTAAGGAAAACAGCATTAGAGTTCCTTGTGGGAAATCATGAGCAGAAAGCAGAAGTCCTCTGGACTTAGCAATGGGTGTGGAACATATGAAGAACTTCAAGATGTGCCTATATCAGATCTATCCATGCTCATTCTTCTCTACAGCCTGGTGCACTCTCAACTTTACATTAGTTCAAGTGAGATTTGATTATTCACTTTTACAAAATAGTGTTACTTAAGTATTAATACTAACCCTATTTGTAAGCATTTTAACAATTTTGCAGTGAAAATGACACTCCCTAGAGCAAATTGTGAGCATGGGGAAGTTGTGAGGGAGGTAGGAGAAAGAGGAGGGAAGAAGGGGAGAAGCAGAACATGAGGAATCAGAAAGATTGTGTTGGGGGCAGAATAGAGTAGGGGAGCAAGACGAGAGATACCTAAATAATGGGAGGCATCTTAGGTTTAAAGAGAAATCTTGCACTAGGGAAATATTCAGAGATCCACAAGGATGACCCCAACTAAGAATGTAAGCAAAAGAGGAGAGGCTGCCTTAAGAGTCCCTCCCCTATAGTGAGATTGGAGACTATCTTAAATGCCATTGTAGAGCCTTCATTCAGTAGCTGATGGGTGTAGAAACAGAGAATCACAGCTAAGCACTGAGCATAACTCCTGGAATCCAGTTGTAGAAAGGGCAAGACCATGCACGGGAAACCCTCAGACACAGCTGACCTGAGCAAGTGGAAGTTAATGGAGCCCAGTCTGACAGCTGAGGAACCAGCATAAGACCCAACAAGGCCTCCTGAATGTGGATATCAGTTAGGAGGCCTGGGCAGTCTATAGGACTTCTGGCAGTGCATCCAGAATTTATTCCTAGTGCACAAATGGTTTTGGGAGCACATTGCCAGTGGAACGATACTCTCTCAGCATAGACACATGGGGGATGGCCTAAGTCCTTTCCCAAATGATATGACAGATGTTGATGATCCCTTAAGGACACCTCATGCTCCCTGCGAGTGGATAGCTATGGGAAGGCAGGGTCAGTGGGGACCAAGGGAGAATGGGAGTGAGGGGACTAATATAGGTATGTAAAATAAGATTGTTAAGTTAAAGAAATTTTTTTCTAAATGACCAAAAATAAAAAAAAATAAAAAAATGGCACTGCTCTTTCACTTTAGGCTTCACACATTTTTCTGATTACACTAAAAAGATGTGAACCTCTGCTGTTCTATTTTACATAGGAAAAACCAGGTTAACCATTGGTGCGAAAGGCTGAACACATGATTTGAAGCTCTTGACTAAAACTAAAAGTCAGGTAACATTCTCCATTTGTGCTTTCCTGTTTTACATCCTCCATTTGTGCATTCCTGTTTTATAAGTAGTCACACTCTAGTCTTACATTAAGAAGTTTAATTTTTCTTCAAAAATATTCATTATCAACACTTATGAGAGAGAGAATATGAATAAAATAATAGCAGAAAATGCCATTATGTATTGGGCTAAATTTGTTTCTCAGTTGTTAAACCGGTTGTGTCTCTTGTACAAGACCTGGGTTCAGTTCTCAGCACATACATGGTAATTCCCAACTACCAAAGACTCCAGCTCCAGGAAATTACTCACCTTTTCTGTCCAATGGAGCAACTGCATATACTCACATCAATAGAATAAGAATAAAAATCCTTCAGGATAATGACATTCTTCTCATTAAACAATCACCTGTATGCAGTAAATAGGATTTATTTAATTATTTTATACTAAGATTTGTATAATGATTGTCACATTGAATGTGACTTTCCTTAGGATCCTTCATTGTACACAAAAATACAGATTATTATGGAAGGATTCTTATTTACACCACTTTTATATGTCTCAAGTTCTTATTAAGTTAGATTGAATTTTGCAAACTGAATATATGCTTTTAATCTCACAATATACAGCTATGTGAAGCTCCTATAAAAGTCTTATTTTCATAAAAATTCAAAAGTATTTCATTGTGACTATAAAGATTGATTTCTAGGTTATTTTGAAGCTCCTGAATTCTATATCAGTGGAAATATATGTAGGTTCTATAATTGTGTAAAAATATACAATTTTGGAAATGTAATTTCTAGGACTTTGCAGCAATATACTTAATTGGTTGTGATTTTATCTGCTGATGTTTCAGCTTTGCCAAATTATGTGACACTGTGATTCTAATATGTTGCTTTGTTACTTATTTCTACTATTTTATGTTGATAGGACATTCACTGTGATCTTTGAATATATCATTTTGTATATTTTAGTATTGAGTAGAATAAAAGACAGAGTGGAGAAGGTTGCTCAGTAGGAGGCGTACTTACCCAATATTTTTGAGACTAGATTTATTAGGAAATTTGTCTGAAAACATGCCAAAATATTTGAATTACCTGTGGCTTTGTTGTCTGTAGTAAGAATTCTATTTGTTTTTGTTGTTATATAGTCTCAAAATGTAACCCAGATTGGCCTCAAATTTCTGGTGTGCTTATCTCCTTCTCTTGATATAAGTAGTAGTACACATTTACACATGTTTAAAACTATGCCAATAGTAATTTTTTCATGATGTTGCAGTGAAAGAATTAACAAACCAAACTTCCTGAGTCACCGTTTCTCCAACCAGTGCATTTAAAGTACGTGTTTTGGAAAACTCAGGTCTGTATTTGACATGACTTTGTCACCAGCACTTGCTTATAGGAACCAAATTATATGGTGATTAAGTGGCACGAGGATAAATAATAAGGTACAATGATAATAGATTTATTTTCTCAGTTCCAGGCTCACAACTGACAACTTGACTTTGATACTTCTCAGTGGACATTGTCTGAGAATCTTGTTTAATAACAGCTTGACTAGGAGTTTCTTGGTTAAAGGAATGTAAGTGTGTTGCTTACATTTCTCACTGTTGTCACAAACCCATGGCCAAATCAGTAGAAAGCGATTCATTTGAATCACAATATACTGATAGTATAAAAAGAAACCAGCAAGTGGTGAGTGATGCAGAAGCTAATCACTGACCAAAACAAACAAACAAACAAACAAACAAACAAAAACGCCAAAAATCAGTGCTGGTAGAATTGTACCCTAAGTGGGATGGCTATCTCAAACTTCTCAGATTCAGAAAACAATTTAGAAGGTTGTCAGGACATACATAAGAGCTGAGACTATGGAGAAGGCCAGCAGCAACAACACACATTTTTGATTATGACATAGCATATGTGACCTACACAAGACCTGTTCAGGACTGACCTTGTCAACATCCATTGTGGATGATAGGGGACCGCTAGGCCTACTCCTACTTGGGGGATAATTGGCTGTTAATTGTTGATCAGGAATGGGTGACGTTTGCTTTACTGGTGCAGCCCTTACAAATTGCCTTTTTCCCAGAATATGCCATCCTGCAAACACTTAGACAAGAAACTATAACTTGACTTAGCAAGTTATACATTAGAGAAGACATGACAGCAGAAAGCGATGGTGGTTTCAGCAAGAGGGAGAAGAATGAGAGGGGGCAGTAGGAAAAATTTCTAAATTTTACTATATGTCTGAAACTATTACACAAAAAAGAAGAAAGAAGGGGAGGAAAGAAGGAAGGGAGCATGGAAGGAAAAAAGTGAGGGAGGGAGTAAAAAATAGTGGGCCAAAGCAAGAAGACCAAAGCATTATGGGCACTGTTCTTTGTATAAAGGTCATGAACCAGATGCTGTTGGAGCCAGAGGGGCCATCCTGGACATCACATGCAGAGAAGATTGATACTGGCAGCTGATGGAGCCAGGAGGACCAGCCAGAAAGAGTAGAGATAGCTGATGGAATCAGGAGGACCAGTGATGAAGAGAAAAACTGATCCATGAATCCAGTGGAATCTGGAAGCACAGACAGGCCTTATTTGTAAGAGAGGCAAATATATAGAACTGGTTAGTTGAGAAGTGTCCCAGACAGTCTTCTTCTGTTGATCCAGATCTCCAATATGACCACCCATCCCTGGATGAGGTTCATCACACTAAGGAATTCAGTGACCTCAGCTTACCTTATTGTTGTACTGTATTTTCTCTTGGCTTTAGAGCTCAGGTTTTATTATGTTCTCATCTGAGAAGAGCCAAAAATAATCTGGTTTTTACCTAATTGCCAAGGTGATTTAGTAGTTTCATTTTCTCTTTATTTTATTATTGTTTTAGTCTAAAATATCTCCATCACCTTTTTGCCCCCTCTCCCTAGTGCTGAGAATATCTATGTGATTGTGTGTCTATAAACTTGTGTATGCGTGTGTGTGTGTGTGTGTGTCCCACCACACCTGAAACTCTCAGCCTTACTTAAACTGTTCCTTCTCTTTTCTCTACCGAATTCCAATTTAAATAGTCTATGGCACATTTCAAGTGGTAATTTTATAGAAAAATATTTAGACACTTCAAGAAAAGTAGTTTCCATATATTAATCACACTTTTTCCTTTAACAAAGTAGCATGTATGGAGGATATGTGATTTTCCTGACATTTCAAGTTCAATATCCCATCCCATGTTCTGATTGACCTCCTCTTCACATCTCCATGGAGTGAAGAGCCACAGTCTCATGCCCCAGTTCTTACTGCAATGCCTTCCTCTCTGTGGTGGACTGAACTCTCTTGAAACACTGAGACCAGACCAATCTACACTCCTCCCTCGGGTAGTTTCTGTCAGCTTTTTTCATCTCAATGACCCATATTCATTATTAGTGAGCCTAAGATTTTGACATTTCTTGACATCATCTAGTCTTTTGTCCCCTTCAAATATTTCTTTACAATATGACTGTTTGGTTTCACTTCTTGCTTTCAAAATTTTGTATTCTTTTTCTGATTCTGTATCTGGACTATCCACATTTCTGGCTTTTTGTCCTGCAGATTTAATTTCATACTTTTCTAGAAAAATTATTTACTCAGATAAATTATTGCATGAAACAATAACAGTAACAGGTACATTGGATTTGTGTTTATGACATACATTTGGATCCCATATCTGTCATGGAGACATTTTCCTGTTTAGTGGACAGTCATTACTTTTTCAAATGAGGACACTCAGAGCAGTTATGGGTCAAGTATCCCAGCCACATAGTGAAGGAGGCTTTCTGTCTGGTTAATGCATATCCACCTACACAGTGGTGGAAAGGGAAATCTCCTAGGAGATACTGCTTGCCTTTTATATTTCAAACTACATGTGTATCAGTGTCAATCCACACCTGTACAATGAGCTCCCACTTGGCAGTAGTTATGGAATAGTACACTAAGAACTCCCTTGTGTGAGACTGACTTCTTAACCTCATCATGCTTACTTTGATACACACCCAGTGACATATTTATAACCTGATTTTCCTTCTCGTATATATCTGTTATTTGTTGAACATTTACTCTATAGGAATTTTAAATATGAAATTGTACTTCAAAGTTTTCACTCTATAGTATTTATCTTTGCCTCTTTTGGGGACATGCCAGCCAGTACCCAAATAAATCAAACATAAAGGATTGTATTTTCTTATAAATGTCTAGGCTTAGCTTGCATTTTTAAAATTTTTTTATTAAATAGCTGTTTTACATGTCAATCCCAGAACCCTCTCCCTCCCCTCCTCCCACACCCCCCATGCCCCCCCAGCCTCCCACCCTATTGCCAAATCATTCAACATAGGGGATATCTAGAGTCTGTCATTTCACTCATGGTAGGGTCCAGGCACTCCCCTAAGAGTCCAGGCTGAGAGAGCATCCCTCTTTGTGCTATGGACACAGGATGTCTGTTTGTATTCCAGGGATAAACACTGATCCACTACTCAGGGCCCCATAGGTTGCCCAGGCCTCCTCACTGACACTCACATTCGGGGTGTCCAGATCAGTCCCATGGAGCCCTCCCTGCTTTTGTTCTCAGGTCCAGGAGCTCTCCCCTGTTCAGAACAGCTGTCTGTGCTGGTTTTGCCAGCCCATTCTTTGCCAATTTGCTCATCACTCCTTTCTCTCTGTCACTGGGTTCCTTGGGTTCAGTTCAGTGTTTAACTGTGGGTGTTTGCCTCTGCTTCCATCAGTCACTGGATGAAGGCTCCCGGATGGTTATAGACATCAAGTTCATTATCAGGAATGGGCATTCAAGGTGGTCTCTCCACTATTGCTTAGCTTGCCAATTGGTGTCATCCCTTTAGATAACTAGAGGTCACAATAATGCCTGATCTGTCTTCTAACCTATGATTCCCTCTTCTGCCTATCCTACCCCCCACTCAACCTTCATGTTCCCCCATGACCTACTCTCTCTTACTCTTCTCCCCCTCTCTTCTTCTCAGCTCCCACTCTCCCCCACCCTCGACGTGGTCCCCATCTCTTCAGAGGATCTTGCCTCATTCCTCTTGTCGTGGATACTATGCATATCTGTTAGGTCCTTTCCTGTTTCCCAGACTCTCTATCAGTGGAAGTGCAGACTGGCACTATCCTGATCCATGTCTAAAATCCATATATGTTTGAGTACATACCATGTTTGTCTTTTTGCGACTGGGTTACCTCACTCAGGATGGATTCTTCCAGTGCTATCCATTTACCTGTGAATTTCAAGATTCCATTTTTTTCTACTGAGTAATACTCCATTGTGTAAATGTACCACATTTTCTCTATCCACTCTTCAGTTGAGGGGCATCTAGGTTGCTTCCAGGTTCTGGCTATTACAAATAATGCTGCTATGAACATAGTGGAGCAGATGCCCTTATTGTATGAATTTGCCTCCTTTGGATATATGCCTAAGAGTGGAATTGCTGGGTCTTGTGGTAGATTGATTCCCATTTTCCTGAGGAATCTCCATACTTGATTATATTTTGGCAAGTGATAACTATCTAGGAAATTCCTAGATGCTCTGTTTTAACCCTTGCTTTGACCTAGACACCTCTGTTTCTTGCCCTGCATCTGTGTCCTAGTTCAGATGTGTTTCTAGATAGGAGAACCTTAGACAACTTTTCATACCTATGAACTTTCAGAAGCAGTGGTCATATGTTCCTTGTGGAAATGCTTGAATTTGGATGCTTCTTGTAGAATACCAAGCAGAAAGTCTTATGTTCAGGCTAGATGAACATGTTTCCTCTTTCATAATTTTGTTGGTCTTATGCTACACAGACATAGCTACCTCTGGATCATTTCTGTCTGCCTCATCTTTTGTTTTCCTGCGATATGCTTGTTCCTTTAGCCACTGTTGAGGAAGTCAGTGTGTATCACACTACTCAGGCTTCAGAAGCACGGACATTGCTATTTTCTTTGCTCCCTTTTTATAGTATCAAAATTATAGTGAGCCTTTGAATCTGGCTGCCTTCTCTCTTTATCTGCAGTACAATGAGTGTGACAGTTTGATAAGCCTCTTCCTCCTTTCAACCACCTCTGTAGAATCCCCGATTTCCCGCATTATGTCCCATGCGTGGGTCTGAGTCCAGGATAAACAGAGTGGAACACCTGCAGGAAGAAGGCATTTGTTGGCGCTGGGTGCTGTGTTCCATCCGGGTGCCTTTCTTGATATGAGAAAAAAGAATTACCCATTATCCACCTCATCGTATGTTCCCAGACAAGAAATTCTTTTGTGTTTCATTGAAATATGGGGTGATCTTGTATCTTTCCTCATTTTGTTTTGTGTCATGTCACCCCTTTCTGTCACTCCCTGGTAGGTTCATGGAGTATATCATAGCATGGGCATGGGTGTAGGAGACATTTATATTCATTCCTCTTTCTAACTGTCACACAGAAGAGCCTGTTTCGCTGTCTTCATTCAAAAGAGCCAGAGCTTTGACTCAAAACCTCTTTCACTGTGAGCTAGTGCTGTAGCATGAAGCTACATGTGCAGCCCAGTAGCACTATTCCCCCATATAGAGACTTTAATGTTTTGTAGTGCTGGACAAAACTCTGCCATTAGAATGTCCTTTTCCAATGTACAGCAGAATGTCCCTGTCATCCCCCCTACCAGATTCCCTCCTAATTCACCAATAGTCAGATAATGTGATACATTCTCTGTGACAATTCTTGACAGTAGGATGATTCATTCACTCTTTTGGTCATTGACCTTTCAGTAGAAACATGGCTTTCCAGCTGCACTGTAAACCAAAGTGTGCAGAACTTTACCAGGGCAGTGCTATTGAACACTCTGACAATAGACATAAAACTACAGATGGTTCAATTTGTTCATGGATGGATGAATGGATGGATGGATGGATGATGGATGGATGGGCAGATGGACAGATGGACAGGTGAATGGATAGATGGATAGATGCATGTGTGGATGGTTTGAAGGATCGATGCTTGGAAGGACAGATGGATGGATTGTTGGGTGGATTGTTGGATGGAAGGAAGTATGTATGTATGTATGTATGTATGTATGTATGTATACAGGAATAGGACTGTGGTCTGTTTTTAATTCCCATCCTTTCTTTTTTAATGAATTTTAAAATTTGCTTATTTTCATTTTTTGAAAATATATTATTTTCTATAACTTCCTATACTGATTTAATTTCCTTACTCCTTTCTCTTTTAACTGCTACCTCAGTCCCCTTTTCTTATTACTGTTGCACTTTTGAAATGACCTGGCTTTTAAGAGATACCAACCATATATGCGAAAACAACGTATTTCCCAGGTGCCAGTTGTTATGTCCCATTGTTCATTTCATTTATTTCCTACATTTTATTCTCTTGGTGTCATTCATTTTTTGTATATAGCTTTTATGTTTTCTGTTAGGGTACTAGAATGGGGTGTCTCCATTTTCTTTATGCAGTGACTAACTACTCTGAACATTCCACTTAACATATCCTTTATTGGATGCCGTAGGTTGTCATATTTTGTGTTTTAATTTTCATGAATTCCAGGAAGTCTGTACATTCTTTCTCCTCCTCTCTTTCTGTCTTTATTGCACTATTTCTTCCTCCTCATTTCTTGGTCCAGATTTTTTAAGTTTAAGAACTGTACTTTGTCCATAGGTATGTAAGCTGTATGTTGCTTTTGATGTCCAAATTTGTTCATATTTATGTTAGGATGCAGGTAGTTGTTTCATTCTCCCTGTAATTGTTGGTACTTGCTCTGTTTCTGGAAATGTTGTCCTTTAGTTTTTGTGATATTTGGTGAAAATATGTTAGGTTCATATGGTTTATAGTA